AGGAAAATGAATAACTATAAGAAAGTGAAAATCAAAATCAACAAAAAAACTGTGAACCAGAGACACTCTATGTGGGGTGGGGGGCGGGGAGGGGAGGGATTGGGGTCAAAATAAGGGGGTTGCAATTGTATGGGGAATATAAAAATAAAATTTATTTTAAAAAAACAAACAAACAAACAAACAAACAAACAAAAAAAACAAAAGCAGATGCAGGGTTCTGCCTGGTGGCACAAGGGGTTACAACGCAACCTATGAAGCTAGCCACAGCCACTGTAGCACGGGTACGATCCCTGGCCAGCGAGAAACCCACATGGCGCGGCAGACCTCTCCTGTCTCGCCCACTGCTCCCCTCAGCAGTGTATTTCAGTCTGCCTGTTCTGTTCCCCAATCTGTCTCTGGTGAATCCTCTCACCCCCCTGCATCTCTGGCTTGTACCCCAGCTCTTGTATGTATAAATATTTTTTTTTAAAAAGCAGATGCAAGAAAGAGTCAAATTAGAAAAAGCTTATATGAAGGAGGTGGTGTGGCAGGGCGTGTTCTGGGCACAGGGGTGCTGTCTGCCCTAACTGGGAGGGATAGGGCAGCAAAGTGTGAAGGGAGGTCTAGAGATGGCCTGGGGCGGGAGGCCTGAGGTTGGCGAAAGCGTCCGCGCGCAGCGAGTCGCGGGGGTAGCGCCTGCCCCGGGGCGCAGGAGGCGGGAGGGCGGCCTCTGCGGTTCAGGAGCTGAAGGAGCAGAAATTGCGGTGACGGGGTGTGGCTACCCAGTAGGGGCTGAGAAGCGGGGACCAGAGGGTTTCCGGAGCTTCTTACCAGAGGTAGCCGCAGGTGCGTTTTTTCGCAACTATAGCAACCAATTACCTCTCGCGAGAACTTACTTTCCACAATCCCGGCAAGTTTCCCAAGACTCGCGATAACGGCTTCCGGGCAGGAAAAAGGACGCGTCCCGGAGAGAGCGTCTGCGACTGCGCCCGGGGCTGGGTGTGCGTGCCCGCGGCCGAGGCTTCCAGGGCATGCTCCTGTTTTCTGCTGTTGCCACTTTCCCTCGGTAGGAGTTTGCAAAGTTTCCCTATTTTAGTGCTCAACCCCTTTCTTTCAATGTCCTTATATAAGTAGGAGGAGGAAAGCTAAAAGGAAAGCTAAAGATTAAAGAAAGCCTTTATTAAATGGTCTTGAAAACAGGTCATTTATCTTTGTAAAAAATGCATCGAGACACTCTTTTAAAAGACTCTCATACACTGTTGGTGAAAGTACAAGACAGTATTGCCTAGTTTTATTCTATACTAGTGCTCAATGTTTAATGGACTCGAAGTATATGATTATTGCACTTGATTCCTTTATAACTAGCTTTGTAGTAAGTTAGAAATTGTAAAGTATGTGTCCTCCAAGTGTATTCTTTCCCAAGATTGCTGGTTATAGTGGGTTCCTTACATTACTGTTAAGGATGTCCTGTGCTAATCCCATACAGGCTTTGTGGACTCCACCCCCACTCCAGACCAAAGCCATCAGGACATTGGGAAAGACAAATCCTGTCACCACCAAAGGGAGGGTGGCTGGGACCTGGGGGTGGAGTTAAGCAGCCAGGTTGGGTATAAACACCAAACACGTGGGCCTTGGGGTCTCTCACTCGCTGTCGCTAGCCTCCTGGCTTCACGGCTCCTGGCTCGCGGCCAGCTCTCAGAGTGCCATTTGGGATTCCAGATCCGTGGATCGGGTAGGAGGCATTTAAAACTTTGTCTCCCATTTTTCTCCCTGACCTGTACACTTCCTCATTTGCCCTTCCTTGTAAATAAACCTTTTATTAACCTTTCGCGATTGCCTGCAGTAGAGTATTGATAAGTCCTTTTAAGCCCGCGGGTGAGGACCCACAGTCAGGCACCCCGTTTTGTATCGGGGCTGCCCTATAACATTACCATATGAATTTTACAATCAGCTCGTCAATTTCTGCAAAAAAAAAAAAAAAAGCCATCTCTGGTGGTGATATCGATTGCTTTGAGTCTGTGGATCAGAGGATGAGCAGTACATTTGATTGCATTATTGGATATTTTCAGAAATAAGTTCACTTTAGAAGTAACAGATTAATTAGAAACAATTTTTTTTAATGACAAAGGAGTTTGTTGAGACAGTGCCTGCATTTAATGGACGTCTTTAGAAGTAAAGAACTTGCATTTATTATTACAGATTGTATTGCTTTTGTTTTTTGTCCCCCAACGACTTGTGTATTTAGATAACATAATTACGATTTTCAGTACTATTATATATGCCACTAAAGAGGGTCTTTTCTGTTTTCCATACACAAATTGGTATTTTAAGTTGATAAAAAACATTTGAACTCCTCATAAGCACTATAGGAAATTCAGAGTGGCCACTGTTAAGCAGTCTAGGAGAATAAAAGAACTGTAACACGAGGTTTTTGCCCTCAGGCACCTTACTGTCTAAGGATTAATTATGTTTAAGAAAATTATACCTGTTATTATCTTGCTTACCTAGGCTTGTTATTTATTCTTTTATGATTTTCTCATAGTGATACACTATATGAAATACTAAACACACCAAGTTCATGAGTGATCTAATAGAAGAACAATTTCCCTGCAAAGACTTGGCCCTAACCCTTGCTTATTATGTAGAAAAACTGTCATGCACTAGGTAAGATGAATACCTCAGAGGAAATTCACTCACAACCCTCATTTGGGAAAAAACCCACAGTGAAATGCCTGAATCAAGTGAGGGTTATCAAGAAACCAAGTACACTAATCAAGATGGTAATCAAGGCGTAAGGATATATACATAGATGAAACAGAATTGAGAGTACAGAAATAAAACTTAAATTTATGGTAAATTATTTTTGAAAAAAACACCAATATAGTTCAATGGAGAAAAATGTCCTTTCAACAAATGATGCTGGGACAAATGAATATACAAATGCAAAAGAAGTTCGTTGCCTACCACCATATCTAAAAAATGCCAAAGACCTAACTGTAAGAGCGAAAACTGTAAGTCTTAGAAGAAAACAAATTATTGTGAACTTGCAGTAGGCAATGTTTTAGACATAAAACCAAAATTACAAGCAACCAAAGATAAACTGGATTTCCTCAAAGTGAAAAAGTTTTGTGTATTGAAAGACACCATCAAGAAAATGAAAAGATAACCCACAGAATAGGGGAAAATATTTGTAAATCATTCTGTATATGCTTATAATTTCCTATTATGTTTTTACATCTTAAAAAAATCTTACTAGCTAAAGAGAAATTGCCCCTCTGGGCAGTTCTTAGAAGTTGCAAAGGGTATAGCAAAGAGCCTTCCTTTGAGATGCAAACCAACCAACCCAAAGCCACACATCCATTATCTGGCCCTTCACTCCAGGTGGGTTTATTCCCTTGCTTTAATCATCCCGAAGTTAGGATACCATTATAACCCAAAGTCTGCCAAAATGATTCAAACTAGCCAGTCCTAAACTGTTCATCTTGTCCTGGCTTTCCTTTCCTTTGAAAACCACAATAAAGGCCATGGCCTAAAAACTACCCCCAACCTCCTATCTTCGGCCTCCTGACTACCCTGGTGTCTTTCCCATGTGATCCTGTGTATAGTGCCTCGTGTTTCTATAAGCATTGAATATAATAGTGTTTTTGAGCCTCTCTCTTGTATCCTTTTGTGGTTGTACCTGACTGGCAATCTCATAAAATAAAATACCAAAATCGTGTCTGATAAAGGTATACTATACTAACAATATATAACTCTTACAACTCAGCAATAAAAACATAAATTTTGCAATTTAAAAATGGCAAAGTATTTGAATAGACATTTTCCCAAAGATATGCAAATGGCCAATAAGTGCAAGAAAATTGTTCGTTAGTCATTAGGGAAATGCAAATCAAAACCATAATGAGATATCTCTACATCCACTAGAATTGTCATAAGAGACAATGATAGTGTTGGTGAGAATGAGGAGGAACTAGAAGGCTGATGCATTCTGGTAGGATTGTAAAATGGTCTAACTGCTTTGGAAAACAGCTGGCAGATCCTCAAAAAGTTGAACATAAATAAACTATATGATTCAGCAGTTACACTCCCAGTTCTATTACTAAGAAACATGTATCCATACAAAATCTTTTACATGAATGTTCATAGCAGCATTATTCATCATAATAGCCAGAAGGTGAAAAACAAAATGTTCATTAATTCATGAGAGGACAGAATGTATATCCACACATTGGATTTTTCAGCCATAAAACACAATGAAATACTGAGGTATGTTATAACAGAGGTGAACCTTTAGGAGAGTGGGGTAATTAAAAGAAGCAAGACACAATGGACCACATATTATAGGAGTGACTGCTAATGGATATAAGATTTCTTTTCGGGTGATTAGAATGTTAAATTGTGGTGATAGTTGCACAAATACATGAATATGCTAAAAACCACTGAAATGTATACTTTAAAAGCATGAATCGTGTATGAATTAAATCACAATTCTTAAGTTTAAAACTACATTGTTCTTGTCTTTTAATACCCTATACTCTGTTTCAGTAAATTCCAGCATTGTTATTTCTTCAAAACGGATAAAAACTAAACCTTTTTATGAAATGTTAAAAAAATAATTACATCTAACATGGTTCATTATCCTTCTATTCCTGTATCTTGCTTTTGCCTCATATTACAACTGTACCTACGTCTCTAAGAGTAAGGTTGTATCTAATTCACTTTGTATATGCCTTAGTACTTACACATAAATATGTTCACTGAATTATAATTGATACAGCTAATCCCTTTTTTAAAGTTTTTATAGGCAATATTAATTTTCTATGTGGTAATTTAGTGTTTATGGATATAAAATATAAATTTATGTAAATAAGATGCAAATTACTTAGATCAAAAAAACAATTTTTTTAAGTAACACAGTTTTGACATACTACTGAATATAACTGCCCAATGGACCTAGTAGGGGTCTGGAAGGCAGAGTTTTTAGCAACATTTTTCAAAATTCAACATTATTACACAGGATTAGAGATTGGTGTGATTTTTATTCAATTTGGTATCCTGAATAGAATGAAAGCAATGAGAATTATGTTTTACAAACATTACATTATTACTATGTTGGGATATGGCTTTACATTGATAGTATATAGAGGACAAATAACATTGGAATTAAGGCAATAACCACCTGTGCAAACCAAGCACAATACCCTGACACAGTCCTTAGTAAAAAGCTCTTTGGTTAGGCGATGGCTGATATTGCTGCATGCAGGTCAGTGAATGCTTTGAAGGATAGCTTCATTCACTTTAACATTCTCTCCTACTGGCCCACAATGGCCAGAAGCAGCTTTCGATAATCTCCACTTGTGTCACTTGCAATCATTGTGCCCAGTGTCTTCTGATACATATGATTGAACAATTGTTTTATCTGTACAAGATCAATCTGTGTGCGAGAGATATTTTTATTGTTAGAAAAAAATGTCGAAAGAAAACGTATTTATTAGAATTATTTTTTAATAGTGAAAAGATCCTAATTATAATCAAAGCAGAAGGAAACAATATCAAATGACTAACTTTTATAAGCTGGCATTCATACCAGTGCCAGCATCACCTGATAAAGATCTGTTCATTATTTCATAGAAATAGTGAGTAAAGGTGGTACTAGTTTCATCTTTTTTTTCAAAGATTTATTTATTTATGCATGCAAGAACTGGGGTGCAGGGCAGAGATACAGTAGGTGAGAGGATTCACCAGAGACAGAGTAGGGAGCAGAACAGGCAGATGTGCTGAAATACACTGCTGAGGGGAGCAGCGGGCGAGACAGGAGAGGTCTGCTGCGCCATATTGGCCACCTCCCTGGCTGGAGATCAAACTCGTGCTGCAGTGACTGTGGATAGCTTCACAGTGCTGTGCTTAACCCCTCACGCCACCAGGGAAGCTCCTAGTTTCATCTATTTTTCCAAAAACATTTGTCATTTAAAAACCATTTGATAGAACTGCTATTATTCAAAGCACAGCAGGTAACATGTGTTGACAAGGATGTGGAGAATTTGGAATCCTTGTGCACTGCTGGTGGGCATATAAAAATGTCCAACTACTGTGAAAAACGTTATGGTGATTCTTCAAAAAAAATTTTTTTTAATTATATGATACAATAATTACACTGCCAGGTATACACATAAAAAGTGAAAGCATGGCCTCAGATAGATAATGTATAACCATATTCATAGTCTCATTATTCATAAAAGTTAAAGCTAGAAGCAACCCAAGTGTTTGTTGATGGGTAAATGGATAAACAAAAGGTGGTATATACATAAAATGGATTTATCCTTAAAAGTACATAATGACACATGCAACAACATGGATGAAAACTTGAAGATGTTATATGTGAAAGAAGTCAGCCACAAAAGGAAAGTACTGAATGATTCCACTTACACGAAGCACTTAGCATAGTCTGATAGATAGAGGCAGAAAGTAGAAAGGTGGTTGCCAGAGTGTGGGGAAGAAGGAGAATGGTGAATTACTGTAATAAGCATGGACTTGGCAGTTTTGCAAGGTGAAAAGTTCTTGTGGTGATGGTTGTACAGCAATATGAATGTACTTAATGTCACCAAACTGCACATTTAAGAATGATTTAAATGAAAAACTTTGTTATATATATTTTATTACAATTTTTTAAACGATCTGCTTAGAAAATTTATGCTTAAGAACAAATACATGAGAAGTTTTTTAAACACCACATTCTGCTTACCTTTTAAAAAATGATTTATCTTGTGTATGTTTTCTTTTATTTAAAAATATCCAATAAATAGACAAAGTCAAAGAAAGGAAAATACATGAAGCTATATTTAGGTGGCAAGGTAAAGATGAATTTTAAAAAATTTTTATAATTAACAATGTGTGCTCAATTTTAAGAACTTTTATATGCAACAGGATTAATCAGGCTCCTTGGTGGTCTAGTAGCTAGAATTTGGTGATCTCAACAGGATTAATCTGTGTAGGTCTTTCGTATAATTTTTTACATAAGCAATATGAAAACCAAAACATACATCTTCTGACTTGTCATACTCCTCAGATCACCTCAAGTAAGAAAATCTCTTGGCATTGGCTTTACTGAAGTACAGTGTTGTCCTTTTCACTAAAGCAAGTCTCACTCATGAGAGACCTGAGAAAAATGAACATTGTTTTACACAACTTCTACCAGCATGATAAAAAGGAAGTTTTTTTTCTGGGCCTTCCTAGTGGCACAGGGGTTAAAGTCTCAGCATTATCAAGCTATTGCCAGTCACTGCGGCATGAGTTCAAACCCCGGGGAAAACTAACCCACATGGCACAGCAGACCTCTCCTGTCTCAACTTCTTTCAGGAGTGTATTTCAGTAGATCCACTTGTTCAGCTCTCCACTCTGTCTTTGGTGAACTCTCACCCCTGCACCTCTGCCTATACCCCATAAATCTTTAAAAAAAAAAAAATGAAAAGAAAGCTCTTTCTTAACATCATTCCTGAGGGCCTGACAACCAAACTGAGGCACTTTTAAGGAATCAATGTGCAAAGACCAGTACGATTAGAGAAAAAGAGAAAGTCCCACCTCACTTCGAGTGACCACAATCCTGACCAGGGTGGAGTCATCTGTGCCAGCACCTTTCATAGAATAGTAGAGCCTCTCAGCGAAGAAAGCAGAGCGGTTCAGGGCACACTGCACTGCAATTTAGAGATGTTTCAGACATGGAGTTATTATGACTTGACAAACACATTCTACTCCAGTTTCATTTGTTACTTTTAGCCTGTCTCTGCTCATTTTCTATGTAGCCATCCCAGAACTCTGAGGTGAGTTGAAGATGTTTCCCCTCTTGATTTTTCTCAGCATCCATCTTTCTTTTTAGCTGTGTCATAAAGCATTCTTTAATTCTAGAAGATTCCCTTCTGGCCAATAAATCTCAATTCTCTCCCAAAAGATACAGTAAATTAGCTTCTCTACATTTTTTTCCCCTTCAGCTAAGAAAATCCATATGCCTGCTGATATTTTCCTTCAAGAGAATAACAAAAGTCTGAACTCTAAAAGTCAAATACATCATATGATTGAGTGGAAGATGAGATACATCCCAATTTAAAAATAAAAACATATTTGAGCAAAGATTTGAGGACAGTACTCAGAAATCTAACATGTTTCTCTTAGGAAAATTAATAAAGCCTCTTCCTGCAGATGGTAGAGATGTACTAACAGTACATTATTACTTTAGCTACAATAACTATATTTGTGAGACATTCAATTTGATTACCATTGTGCTATTAATACTCAGTTATATATTCTCCATGAAAATGAAATTTTTATTTCATTGGACAGCTGAAATAGGGTTTTTAATTTCAAAAAGAGAAGTTTTTCACTGAGCTGAGTACTTTAAAAGTGCTTTTGAGGGGCTGCAAATCATGCTTTCTGTAGCAGGAAACAAGAGTTCCTTAGGGTTTTTTCATTCAGCTAAATGGAAATACTTCAACTTATTGTATAGTTCTTAAGAAAGTTCTTAAGAAAGGCATATAGGGCCTCCCTGGTGGCGCAAGGGGTTAAGACGCAACCAATGAAGCTGTCCACAGCCACCACAGCATGGGATCGATCCCCGGCCGGCCAGGGAGCAACCCACATGGTGCAGCAGACCTGTCCTGACTCACCCACTGCTCCCCTCAGCAGTGTACTTCGGTCAATCTGCCTGTTCTATTCCCCACTCTGTCTCTGGTGGGTCCTCTCACCCCCAACCCCCACACTTCTGGCCTGTACTCCATTCTTGTATGCATAAATAAATAAATCTTTAAAAAAAAAAAAAAAGAAAGGCATATAGAATAAAGACCAAAAATTCCAAAACAACCCTGTTTGCTCATGCTGTTAACCAGTCAAAGAAAATTACACATAAAAATACAGGATTTACTCAGTCTTTGCCTCAGTAGATTCCAAGGAGGCTATATTAATAATCATCACTTATTGGAAACAACTATTCAAAGCCTCACTCATTTACAAACAAATAAAGTAAAACACAAAAGTATCTTACATATGGTCTTCAAACCGCTTTCAACATTTCCAGAAAACTCACGGCCAATACTGCCTAACAAATCTCGATTAGCTGCCTGCAAACAAAAAGTGTAGGGGGTTAAATACCTTCATACCTCAAAACGTAAGTTAAATCTTCAAAAGAAAAGTTCATACCCTGGAATAAGCCTCCATGGTAGCTTTTAACTGAGGAAAACTTCTTGTTGCAAGGATCATATTAAAGCAAGATTCATCTGTTCCTAGTTTCCCTTCACCAGCTTGGTACAGACGCTGAGCATCTTCCTGAGCCAACTGGTGGTTGACATTCTGGTTCTCATCACGATTTCCCTGCAAATGAGGAAGGCAGAAATTGGAAGGAGTGATACAAGTTCTATTAAAATTTTTTTCCAAAGTAGTCACTTTTGGATTTAAAAGTATAATTCATTAAGGATTAATGCATACATTTTGTCATGCATATCTTTCATTTCCAAAGAAACTAGTATAATTCATATAAAGTATATGATCATGGGTTTTATAATATATGATCCTGGTTTAATGAGGTTATGTTAAAATGAAATATCTTTTAAGTTCTTCTGCTCCCCAGCCAGGGAGCTAACCCACGGGGTGCAGCAGATCTCTCCTGTTTCAACCGCTGCTCCCCACAGCAGTGTATTTAAGTGGATCCACCTGTTCTGTTCCCCACTCTGTCTCTGGTGAATCCTCTCACCCCGCGTACCTCTGGCCTATACCCCAGTTCTTGTATAAATAAATAAAATAAAAATAAATCTTAAAAAACAAGCACAGATCCATCCCATCTGAAGATACAAAGTCTCAAGTTGATTTCTGATTCCATATAACCTGAAAGAGGTTCATTCCCTATTCATTACAAATGCCAGATCTACAGAAATAAATTTTCAGTAGTGACTATAAAGAAATCTGTATAATGGATTCTGTGTTGTCCCTCTTAAAGATGGCAAGATTCCAAGGGAACTAAAGATTAAAAGGAATAAAGAATATTCTTTGGCCATAGTTAGTAAAGAATGTTCCTTCCACCAATACACAAACATTCATATTATACTCACCTGGCACATGGATACAAGTAAACGTTCAAAATGTCCTGATGTATCTGACCTAATGTCCTTTTCAAGGTCCCGTCCAAATTCTGATTGATAACATCTGACAATTTCTCGGATTTCCTGATTTGTTCTTGTGCACAAAATTTCAATCAATACACGTTCCTGAGTTCCTACTCCCTATGTGAAATGAAAAAGGGAGAATTATAAAAAAAGAAAAACAAAAATATCTAAAAATTAATTAAATCTTATTATTCCATCTTATATTTCTTTGACTTGGTAAAATGAAAATTGGCAAAATGGTAAAATGAAAAGCTCTATATATTCAGATAATATGAAATAATGTGCTGATTTACTATTAGCATAAATTCAAAACTGCTATAATTTGTGAGGCTTTACATTTCAAATAAAATAAAATATTCAAAGTAAACAATATGTAGTACCTTCATTGCATTCCGTAAACTCCAGGCATCATAATACGTAGGTGGCATGAATAGGGCAAGGATTAACTCTTCCATATTTCCAGTTAATTCTGATTTGAGATCACTGATTAAATCCTGTTCAATTACCAATATAAAATAAATACATGTGTTCTCCAAATTTTTGTTGCTTAATTTTTTAAGGAAAACATGGAAAAATGAAATTGAATTGCTTTACGAAAACCTAACATATATATACCATGGTTTATAACATATAAACCATTATATACTAAGAAATAAGTAAATGTAAAAAGTTATTCTCAAGCAGATGCATTTTATTCAATTTATCAATTCCTAATATTAAGTGATCAGTATTATCACTTAATAAATTCTTTCTTTAGTTTCACCACCTACCAGAAGCAAAGACAAGAGATACATGAAGTGAAGCATAATTCAAACTGGTAAAATGATAAACAGATATGAATGTAAGAAACTGTTCTTTTGTATGAGAAAAGAACAGCATCATTATTTTGTTCTTATTTAGAAAGATAAACATCTGGAAGGGATAATGCTAAGTGAAATAAGTCAGAAAGAGAAAGAAAAATACCATAGGGTGTCACTAATATGTGAAATATAGAAAAACCAGATAAAGCTAAGGGTCAGATAAAAACAAGCTTAAAAACTAACTCTTGAAAGCTGACTATAGAACTGAAGCATCCAGAGTGGGGAGAGGTTAAGAACAAAAAAGAAAGGAATCACAATGGACTATGGGGGTGGGCTATGGGTTACTTGGCAATGGGTGTACTACAGTCGCAATACCTGATGGGGGGATCCTGATGTTACCTCAATTTAAAGAATTAAAAAGAAAGAAATAAAAACATCTAAAAAGAGATAAGGCAACCTGTACTCTAGCATTGGATGACTTAGTACTATAGAAATAAATAACAGAAATTAAAACAGAAAAAGCTAAATTAGGCTAGAGAACTCAGAGAAAATTTTTAGTCCTGATTTGGAAGAGTATATAAAAATCAGTAGGAAAGAGGAAAAACATATTTCAGGCAAGAAAGAACACAAACAAGAGACAGAAAAGTGGTGGGCAGCTATGCATTAAACTCATCTGTGGAATTTCTCTTTAAAAAAAAGCAAAACATTGATATTAAGAACAAATACACAAAATTTGCATCCCTTTTAAGTTTAAAAGATTATGATGCTAAGCTAAGGTTCAGAATCACTAGTATACAGGCAAGAATTAGCAAAATGTGTTCAATGGAATTACAAGATTACCAACTTGCTCTTTCTTTTTACCAACAATGTGCCAATTTAAAAATATTAACATTTATTGCTTAGATGGTTTTTACACAAAAGAACTTCTCATTTTGAATTTGGAAATACTATACAACTAAATACAAAGAAGGAAAATATCAAAACCAAATTTGGATGTTCTGTTCATGTGGCATAAACTAGTTTTGTATATAGTATGCAACAACAATTTTTAAAGTTAACCTAAAAAAAAATAAATAAATGCTACACATTTATTATTGCATCCTGATTAATGCATGGGCTGTAGAGGTGAATGTTTTCACAGACTAGTAAAACAAAGTTGTAACTATGCTGAGGTTATTGCCTTCACTGTCAAGCTAAAGAATGTGGTTTTAATTCTAATGCTGGGAGGAGCCATTGGAAACTTAAAACAAGAAAATGGTACTGATGCATGAAGACAAGGAAGCTATAGATGAGAACAAATTTAAGCTATTGGAATATTTAGGAAAGAAGTAATTGAGGCTTGAACTTGAGTGGTAGGAAAGGAAATGGAATGAATAAAAGGAGATAGAAAAACATTTTTAAAGTGCCCTTTTACAGAGTAGATCAATAAGATATAGTAAATAACAAATTGCTAGGACAAAGCAGTTCCTGGAACAGTAGGCATTGAATAAATAGTCACTGACTAACTGACGAAGAAGAATGTGGAATCAAATAAGACTACATGGCAGGCTAGAAAAATAGCATTTTTACTAATTAATGTAAGTCAATAGAAAAGAGTTGTGGAAGGAAAAAGGCAGTGAATTTAGTTTTAATTCTAAAGCAATAGATGAGAAAATTAAGACAGTCAAAATAGAACAGAATATAAGAACCAGAACAGAAGAACTAAAAAAATTCACAATATTGAAAACTTTTTTTGAGAGGAATGGGAAGCTGAACCCCACAGAAATGCAGAGTTTATGTCACTCAATCAGTCATAAAGTCTAAGGTGGATCTGGGCTAGGCAGAGAGGGAAAGGCAGAGAAAAACAGGCAAGGGAGGTACAAGTGATGGACCTATACTCCCACTTTAAGAAGAGTAAAGTGAATCTAGAGGACATTAGGAAATTTTTATGATTCCCATCTAAATGGCAAACCAAAGCTACCTTTACATTTTTCCTTTATATCTGAGAAGCAATTGTATTTTTTAGACACAGAATCTTGCTGGATTTAGTCACTGATCATCCATTCAACAAATATTTATTAAGCAGCTATTTGTTCATGTTCCTGAACTTGGTGCTATAAATTCAAAGATAAGACATGATTTACTCTAAAGGACAATTTTGGAGGACAGTCAGCAAGATTAGCGATAGCAGATGTTTTACAAAGTGGTATGGGACCACAGTGGAAGAAGCAGCTAAATTCTGTCCAGAACAATGCAAGAAATTCCAGAGTAGCAGACTTAAGCCACATTCTGGAGAATTTGTTCGCCACGCAGAAAGGGATGAAAAGGTGTTCCAAGCCAAGAGAACAACATGAACAAAGGACAGAAGTATCCAAGACAATAATGTACAGGGAACAACAAGTTCTGTGTAATTATAATATAGGATATGTTTACAAAAGAGGAAGGGAAGTGGAAGATGATGCCAAAGACCAAGAAAAAGCAGAAGATATATAGTAAGTCCTTGAATTCCATTATATGGAGCAGAAGATTGAGAATTAAGCTATTTATCATAATTGTGATTATATTCGACTTTCTTCTGAACACCTATCACATACTAGACAAATAGATAAAGTACAACTGTGAGCTCAAGGACTACTGAAGAATTAGAAAAGCTTTTCAGAGAATAATAAAGATACCACTTTTGGAGTAGCTGAAGTATAGCTGTCTCTACTTTGTACCACTGACACTTTATAAAAATATAATATTCAACTTGACATGAATTTTGAATCTACAGGTCACTGTTCAAACTCACCCCTGAAAAGAAATATAAATAAACATACCTTGCCATACATGGTCTTAAAAGCTGCTTTAATTTTTTGCCTTTGATCATTGGAACGGTTGGCCACAACATCCACAATTGCCTGCTCATCTGTCCCTGGAAGAATCACACATGTTTAAGTAAGGATGAAGCCTGTGCGGAATGCTCCTTGAGGGTGATTGCAAGATGCTTAGTGCCAGATTAAACTGAGGTATGTGTACTAAGTTGACATACAAACTTGGATTATGACATAATGTTTATTTTTAATTTAGATTCAATCATTGAACTTATTATAATAGAAGCTGTTTTCCTTACCAAAGCCCTTCATTGCTTTACGAAGAATTTCTGCATCTCTCATGGCATCGAAGTTGGTAGCTGGTCTGATCGTACCTTGAGTTCCCTGAGTCATTGCAGCAGGCTGAGAACAAGAGGCATAAAATCAAATCATGATTATTGTGGTAATCATTTTGCAACATACACACATATCAATTCTTCATGTTATTCATCTAAAACTAACACAATGTTATATGTCAATTATATTTCAATAAAACTGGAAAAAATTGAGAAAATGTTTAACTTATTTAATAAAAGATGTATATAAAAAAAAAGAAAATGCAAGTCAGCATTCTCTGCTGAAAGCTGACAATTTAAGATTTCCCCAGTCTTAGACAAGGAGGCCAGTGTTTGGGCTTTAAGACAAGGGTTTTATTATTAGGGCATATTCTGGAACAGGCAGGAAAGACCTATCCCTCTCCACCCAGTAAACAGCCATACATCAAACTTCCAGAAGACAAGAAAGTCAAGCTTGTAAAATTAGTCACAATCTTCGTAAACCTTCATCTCCTCCTTGGTAGAATAGAAGGGGTAAAAAAGAGTTGATTTCTGGAGAGTGTGAGAGGAAAAGCAGTGTTTGATTTAAAGTTAGAAGAATATTATAATGGTTTTAGTGAAGCAGTATATGATTTGCCAAAGTTTTTGATTAAGCAATATATTCTGGTAATATCTCTTCATTTTCTCTATTGGCTCTGATTATTAGTCATGAAATATATTTAAAATACAATGGAATAATTTTTTTTTAAATGCCATAAGCCTACTATGACAGCAATAATGGTTTCAGGCAAGAATCATCAAATAGATGCCAAAATTAGTGTGCAGATGTATGATGGAAACCAAGTTTGTAACATTGGTTTGTAACATTGTAGCAGAAAACTTGATTGACACCATTTTAAACAAATGATCAAAACCAATTATCACCATTAATGGAATAAACCAACAATAGGGAACACATCATTTCTCTGGTATTCCTATTAAAATAGCACAACATAAATGTAATCATGAGGAAATACCAGATTAAACCCTATATATGCTACAAAATAACTTAGTACTCTTCAAAAGTGTCAAGGTCATGAGTAGTAAAAACTGAGGAATTGTTTCATATTAAGAGATACTTAAGAGCTATGACAATAAATGTTTCATTTGATTTGATCCTGAAGCAGAAAAGTACATTATAGAGACAATGGATAAGTTTGAATAAGGCATTAAGGCTAGGTAATAGTATTATATCACTGTTATATCCTGATTTTCACCTTTGTGTGTTTTCTGTTTACATAAGAAGTTAACACTTAAGAGAATATCAACAAATGGTATGCAGGAATTTTTGGTACAATTTTTGTAACTTTAAAAATTATTTCAAAATTTAAGTTAAATTAAGAAACACAAAGCTATAAAACAACTCAATCACTTACTTTTTTTTTTTTTTAAGATTTTTTATTTATCTATACAAGAACCAGCGTACAGGCCAGATGCGCGGGAGGGTGAGAGGATTCACCAGAGACAGAGTGGGTAACAGAACAGGCAGACAACCGAAGTACACTACTGAGGGGAGCAGCAGGCGTGACAGGAGAAGTCTGCTGCACAGTGTGGGACCCTTGCCGGCCGGCTGGCTAGCCAGGAACAAACCAATGCTGCAGAGGCTGTGGACAGCTTCACAGCACGGCGCTCAACCGCCTGCGCCACCAGGGGAGGCCCTCAATCACTTTCTTAAAATATTCAAAGCAGGACTTAAGAGGGATGGAATGATATCTCACAATATTTAAAAATTTAAAAATTTTTTATTTTTAAAAATATGTTTGACATATTTTCATCACCTATTTTATATATCTATTATTTCTAACATACATATACATTTTCAGGCAATATTGGTTTGCAACATTGTATATGTTTCAGGTGTACAGTTTTTCACCTCAGCAACTGTATATATCGCACCAGGCCTAACACCAAAATGTCTAGTCACCATCCACCACCAACCAATGAATACCCCACCTGTTCCACTCCTATTCTCTTCCCCTCTAGTAACCACCATTCTGTTGTCAGAATCTAAGGATTTGTTTTGTTTATTCATTTGCTTTGCTTCTTTATATTCCACATGGGTGAAATCATACAATAATTGTCTTTTTCTTCCTGACTTATCTCTGGTTAGCATAATCCCCTCAAGGTCCATTCATGTCACAAATTTTTAATCTAATCCATGTTTAAGATATCACTTAAACATGCAATCAACATTATTTCAAAATACTACATGATTCAATTGCTTTTTAGGCAACTGGAACTGATCAGTGTGATTACAGCAATATGCCAACATTTGTAGGGACAAAGTAAATGGGGAGAAGGGGACAGGACCTTCTTACAGCAAGCATTTTTTATAGTCAATAATTCCTTTCATTCATCTATACTCCTATATTTTCTTCTACCAATAAACCTTAACAACGACCCTTCACTAGATTCTAAGGTAGAAATGTTAGCAGAAACCTAAGAAGAAATATTTACATAATGGTTTTAAGAGAAAACTGCAATTATTCTACTTGTATTTAACATTCTGAATGTGTTACCTTTACATGAGGCTTAACTATCAAGAAACTAAGAAAGTTTCCTTTGATAGTCCTAAGTAGGACAGACAAATATGAGAAATTAACCCTCTTAATATATTGTTTGATGATTCTCATTTTCTGTCATTGTCTTTCTCCATCTGTAGAGAAAACTGATTTTGTTTTATTCTTTGTAGAAAGTCTAAGTTTGATGTGACTATTCATCATAAACACATCCTCCAGGCATTATATGCATTAAAAGAAACCAGGGTCTCTATTCTTGAGGTCAAAATTTTTAACTAGGGGAAATTTCTCAGCACAGGAAAGCCCAAACTATCTGCTGCTCAAAGTTCCACCCTTTTATACCCATTTGATCCCAACCTTCCTGGTTAGAAAATGCCATAGAATTATTAGAGTCAGGTCAATCAGGAGATATCACTGGCCCAACTGCCCACTCAAGTCAGAAATTTTCCTTATATCTTCCTACACACAAAAATGCACACATATCAAGCAACCTTTGCCAGTGGCGTTTCAGTGACAAAGCTCCCCCCTCACAAGGTGGAATCTATTCCACTTCCATCTGAAAGTGCTTTCAAAATCTACCACTCTATTAATTTCCTCCTACTGTTTCAGTTCTATCTTAAGGTGGTAATTGTTACATAAAATAAGTTGTTTGCATGTGTTTTACCTTTACTGCTTAATGTTTAGAAGTATTTTATATTCAGTCATAAGATGATGTTTCTAAAATTGTTTAATTAAAATAAAAGTTCTCTCACAACAAATTATTAAAACAGCTACAGATATGCAATATATAATTTTTTTATTTATACAATTAAAAAGGACTGAAAACAATTTATTATATGCTTTGTAGGATTACCATTACTATGGCAGCAAAGGAGCACTATGTAACAGAGAGGCCACTGTTCTGGGAGTCAGAATACCTAGGATCTAGTCTCAGCTTTGCCTTTGACTAGTTGTGAGGCCCTGGACAAATTTCTTAATCTTGCTGAGCTCAAATTCTTCAAATCAGGAAAGGAAGCCAGTAAATGTCTAAAGTGTTCACTTCCACTGTTATAATTCCTCTCCCACCCAGCCTTAAAAAAAGGTTTAAAAATGCCACTTATGAATAGACAGTAAGAAAATAAATGAGAAAATCAAGATAAAAGTTTATTGCTTATGTTGCTAGAAACTTGCAGCGGATATAAAAGAATTAATAAGACAATTAAAGAATAAACCAATATTAAAATAAGGCATACAGAGATGGGACAAAGATTTGATATTTGAAAGAAATCATTTCAACAGACATTAATGGGTTACCATGCTTAATATCCAGCCAAGAACAAGAGGGACATAAGACAGATACAGTGAGCCCTCAAGGAAGTAGTGAAAGACAAATACACAAGAAACCAGAAACAAATGAAGGTACATAGATAGTACCTAGTGATTAGTGAACATTAGAAAATTTTACTCACTTCACTGTTATAATCCAAAGAAACAGGAGAGAAAACAGGATAGGAGGAAAAGGATTCTGTATCAGTCTGAAAAAAGAGTAGAAAGTTATGAAAGTAAAAATGGAAACAAAACCACACCTCATGAAACATTGCAGAAATACCAATTATCCAGTTACCCAAGTTTAGTTGTAACTACTAAGAAGGGAAGAGGAAAAAGAACTAAAATAAGGCTAAGAGCCCACGATAATCTATGAAAAAGTTATGAATATCATCGCCAGTAAGAAGGGACTCTTCTTGTCTTATCAGAGTTATGCTTGGCTTATCAAAGTTATTAGGACACTAGTAAAGCAGATGGACAAAAGAGCATGAAGTTGATTAGAGCCTTAAGTGTCTACTACAGGTCATCTCCTCTGCTTCATGGAAACCTCTAATGTTAGCAAAATCATGGTGTCTTTTCCGACATCAACCAGTCACTCAGGCTAAATTTAAAAGGTAGGAACAAAATTACCTGACTGGGGTAAGGAGCTTGTCCTCCAGGGTACTGAGAAGGCATCTGTCCTCCAGGAAAGCCACCTACATGTTAAAAATAACACACACACAGCAAACAGCTCTTACATGATTTATTTTTTCAAAACAGGATTAATTATTATGAATAGGGAAACATATGAGAAGATGCACACTATATTATTCACTAGGATAATTTTGTTTTTGTCTCATATTTTTCTTTATACTGGGATAATTTTTTAATATCATAATTTAGTGAATCTAAAACTAACTTCAGTTACAAGAACTTTCAAAAATATTCCATGTCCTATATAATTTCCTATAAATAATATTTTTTAAAAGAAATTTGAACCAGATTAAATTCTGATTCCACTTGGAAAGGATGTCAGAGCATAATTCTGAGGGTTTCGTTTGTAGTGAGTGGTCAGAGAAGTTCCTGTAGGTTTTGTTTTTGGCTTTGGGACAATTTTTAATTGAAAAAGTGGCTCCTTATCTCCATCTTACTAATTAAAATCTTTCTAATCAAATGAATACATTTCATGAAGCCATATATTTAAAATTATTTACAGAAGCATAAACATTTACTGAAGACTACCCCAAACATAAACTAAGTGCTCTCAATGGCAGTTAAAATTTTCAAAATATCATGTTATTGTTTTTCTCTGGATAGTGGGCACCTACCAGGTAGTGGGACCTGTGCTGGGCCACCACCATAAGACTGTGAAGGTGGCTGTGGATAGCCAGGATAGCCTGCACCACTGGGTGGGGCTCCAAACCCTTGGCCTGCGGGAACTAGAGAAAAGAAGAAATATGGTGACAGTTTCATGAATGAAGAGAAAACTTTAGAAAAATATTTATTATTAACAGTGGGAAAAAAGTGCTAGTAATGTACTACCAATAATTCCTTTTCTTCTAAATTCTACTTCTCACAAACTCCTTCCACATCAAAAAATTTAAAAAAATTTACTTCATTGATCTTCCTTGATAACTTACAAAAGTTCCATGTTTTCTTTTACCTTTGGACAAAGCTATCCTAAAGGTTATAGTTAAGTTAATTAAAGTATCTTAATCAGGATTACAAATAATCAGGCAAACCATATTAATTAATTAAAGCATATTAATTAATATGGATTATCAATATATTAACCCTTAATTACCATGAAACTTATTCTAATTCCTTTAACAACAGAATTTTTGAGCCTGTTCCTTGATTTCATACCCCCTAGAAACTTCATCCCTCTTTCTGGCTAGCTAGGTTTTTATTTATTTTTTTTAATTTAAAGGGCAGGTTTATTAGGGGAAGGAACGGAAAAATAAAAGACACTTGCATAGAGACAAGTAGGCAGGAAGAGCTGCCCCGAAAGGAACAGGTTTGCTAAAGGAGGCCTGCATGATTGCAGGCGGGCAGCCTTGAAGAGAGCTGCCTCCGCTGAGGGAGGTCAGGGAGGAGAAGTCCCGGCATGGTACAGGTCACGGGCAGGCAGGGTAGGCTGCTGCCCTGCAGAGGAGAGAGTTGGTGAAAAGAAGTACCTACATAGGCAGAGGTGGGCAGAAGGAGTGGTGCTGCTAGCTAGGTTTTGACTGTCTAAGATAAGAGATTAAGAGTGACTCTGACCTCATATAAAAGAGGTAGGAAAGAAGAGGGTAAAAAAATGAAAGGAAAAGCGCTACAGCAATCCCAAATCATCATATATTTAACAACCCATAACTTACCTCCAGGATAGGATGGGGCTCCCCCTGACTGTGGAGCACCAGGATAGCCTCCAGGAGCTGGATAACCTCCAGGGGCAGGGTAGCCTCCAGCTCCAGGGTAGCCACTACTTGGTGCTGGTGGGTAGGCTCCACCTCCCATTGGGGGAAAGCCAGTAGGATAAGGATACTGACCAGGAGGGGGAAAAGATGACTCCTGACCAGCAGGCTGAAAAAGCAGAATAATTTTCAAGTGAATATCATCATATAGAAATACGACCCATCTAATAAAGGGAACAAACCAAGATAACTGGTAAACTCTAGCTTATTCATTTGCATTTTAAAAGTTCCATTAGGGTTGCGAAGCTGCCCGCAGCCTCTGCAGCGCTGGTTCCATCCCTGGCCCCTGGATGAGGGTCCCACATGGTGCGCAGACCTCTCCTGCCACCCGCTGCTCCCCTTGCAGTGTACTTCGTCAGTCTGCCTGTTCTGTTCCCCGTTCTGTCTCTGAATTCTCTCACCCCCCTGCGCTTCTGACTGTACCCAGTGCTTGTATAAATAAATCTTTAAAAAAAAAAAAAGTTCCATTAGAAGTCTTCATTTATCTTACATTCATTTATAGTACACTTGTTTGTCAGGACACTTGTTTGTCAGAATCAGTTACATTTAATCCTATCTGTGTCAGGCAAGAGGGATTTTTTTCTCTATTTGGAAGTAAGAATAAGGCTCTTTCCAAACCATAAGGCTTCAGGAACAACTAACAAATTTCATCAGTTCCTTCATTTTCTTGGTACCCAGAAATATGAGAAAGAACCCCCTCTCCACCTTAAAGAGAGAAATTCATGACTCTCTTGCAAACACACCCAGACCTGTTGCATAGGAGTGGGGAAATAAAAAGACAACCTGAGTCACACATGGGTGTGACATATCAGATTTCAGTTCAGATAATATCAATGTGTGGCAGAGATTGTTATATGTTCACTAAAGACTTTCTCCCAGGGCCAAAAAGCTAGACTAATTTCACAGACCCCCTAGCAGTTAAGTAGGACCACATGACAGAATACTGAAACCATGTGGTAAATGAGTGTAGACAGAAGCAATGTATACCACTTCCAACCTGGCCCCTAAAAACCTCCTGCCCAATCCTCTATACTTTGTCTTTTCTTTTCCTTCATATGCTAGCTGGAAGCAGAGGATGCACTGGAGATCTCCAAGGCCCTGGAAGATGGCAGAACCAAAACATGGCAGGAGCCTGGGAATCTGAAAGATTACATGAAACAAAGCCTCCTCCCACACTTCCACCCCTATCACCTGCTCCAAGGACATGAGCTATTTCAGTATTATAAATGGCAATACTTACAGGATATCCAGGGAAAGGTGGGTAGCCTGTGGGAGGATAGCCTGGGTATGACATTCTGTAACAATAAAAAATGTCCTCTGTAATTTTTTATAAGGGTTAAGGCCTTTGAAGATGTAGATTGTCATAGGAATTTATATAAAATATTTATATACTCATTTCAAAAGAGTCTGGCAGGCATTCAAATGTAGACATTAAAGATATAAGCAAAGTTTATAATGCTTCATTTCACCATTTGTACCAAAGGAATCCGCACAGAACAGTAAATGTTCCAACTTCATTCTCTTCATATCACATACTTTCTATCACATCTGAATACTACTAGTCCTATTATTTATGAAATAATTTAAGTCAATTAATTTTTCACTTAAATCTATTTTAAAAGTATGTTTTTTATCACTTCCATAAATGGAAAACTTAGGTTTTTTTCACCAGGAGAAGATAACATTAAAATGAATATATAAATATTAAAACAAATACTTTCTAGTTCCACAGAAATCACCTTACATGATATAACTACACCACTGGAAACAATGGTTTAACAGTTAAAAGTTAACAGTCTGTAGTCCTACATATCTGGATTAAAGCCTAGCTTTCTTTAATTTTTTATTATTTAATTTTTAATTATGGAAAATTTCAAACTTATTAAAAAATAAAGATAACAGTATAAAAATGCTAAGTACTCATCACTCAGGTGCAATAATTAGCAAATCATGGCCAATCTTGTTTTTTCAATATTCTCATTCACTCCCTAACACACTACTACATTATTCTGAAGCAAATCCCAGATATTTTTCTATGACTTAAACTAATATGTACTTCAGTATATATCTCTAAAAACATATGTACTTTTAAAAAATTACAGGGATATTTTCAAACTATAACCATACCATCAATGTGCTAGTCTTAAAATTTCCAATTATCTTTTAAATATTTTATTTTGTAATTGTTTATTTAACAGAAAAATCAAACATTTAAAAGTAGAGAGAATAGAATTAGAACTACATAGCACTACTGAAATTCAGCTGTTTTTATATAAAAACATCTATGGCTCAACCTAATATAACTGTGTCCATGTTTTCTTTATGTTCAGTTTCAGCAATTACCAATTCATAGACAAATCTATTTATCATTTGTATTCCAATCACTACCCTTCCTAGAATCTCTTAAAGCAAACCCCCACAACTTTTTACTCATATTTCATTTTTTTACCTATAAAAGTACCAGGACTCTTTTAAACCATAGCCATTTAATAATATTGTACCTATGAAGAAAGCACTACAAATAGTAAAACAAATGCAAATAAATAGAGAAAAAAAATCAAAAGAAAACCTTTTCTTAGCATGATCAAACTTAAAAAACTGTTCATGGTGAAATGTAATTATCTAGCAAATACATCAATAAATATCAATAATTATTTACATCTACCATAACATGCTATACAAAGACTGGAGAGTAAATAAACTATCAAAGGTTTAAACTAGGCTTTAAAAGGAGGCAGACACACACAAGGAATTTAAACAATGTCATGTGCAAAGAAAATGGTGGGATATAATTGTAAAATGGACTACGACCAAAACAGGATGAGAAAGGGCAAATTAAGATAGAAGTAAATTAGGAAGCTTTCAGTGGTGGTGTGGAATTAAATATTCATCATTCTCTACTAGATAATATCCCTTATCTATCAGTAGTACCATACTTAAATTACCAATTACTTCAGTGGAGCAAGTAATGCAATATTTTTCTATTCTTCCTTCCTTTGAAATGCCTCTATTTTTCTTGTCATTTCTACTCTCCTTATAATATCCTCAGACCATGCTTTCATCACTGGCGCTCATTTGACTAAAATTACTTCTCCATTTACATCTTGTTTATACTCTCACGCTTTCAGCTTTCCTGGGCAACATTACCAGATGAACACTTATAAAATGCTGCTTTTTCAGCCTGTTGCTCTTCAGGTCCAAATTAACTCACTGGCTACTACTAGAGTATCAAATGAAAATTCATCAGCCTGACAGGTCTCCTTAGCACTGGCTCCAATTCATCTATTCAATTTATCTCTTACCAACACCGAACCTTAATGCGAAACCTCTACCACTTGAACCACTCCCAACATGCCTTTGCTTAAGTCACTGTTATCATTAACCGACTGCTTGGCCCTTAAGCCTTGGCTCATTCACCTCTCCTGACTTAGCCAGCTCAAATCTTCCCTCTCCCTTCTTTGAACAATGTATTAGATAAATCTGTAGTGTAACTGTGAATCGCAAAGGAATCTTGTTAAAATGCAGACTCTGATTCAGCAGATCTGAGATGGGGCTTAAGAGGCTGCATTTCTAACTAAGCTTCCAGGTGATGTGGCTGCTGTTGGTCTGTGATACATACTTTTATACCAGAATATTTTGGCATTTCTGGTGTTACCATCTAATTTGCTGCTTTTGGCTCTTTTCCCAATATGATGGCAAATGATCTGTATTTACTTTATATCAAGACCCCAAACAGATCCAGTTCAACATTCATGAAAGTTCATTATACAATATGCACTGTCCTAGGCGTTGATAAAAAGATAGGGGTGGGAAGGAAATAATTTGCCTTTTGAGTATACAGCACAGGAACATAAGACAATGAATTTATTAGTGTCCCTTATGGCAAAAGCACAGGACAAAGATAAAAACCTAAGAATGAATGGACACATATTGAGTCAAAGTTGTAAGTTATGTAATAAAGATAATTAGAAAACTGATCCAGGCAGTTCTAAAATAGTCACTTGGGATCCAAAGGCCTGGATGTAAAAACAGGAACAGGTTACTAAATTGTTTGTTGCTATCTTCTTCACCAAGCCTGGTTGGTTTAAGAAGTAAAGTAGGGTCAACAGCATCTCAGAACAGTCAGAAAGATCAAGGGCAAAAGAGGTCAGGATCAAAACAGAAAATAATCTGAAAATAATTTATGAGAGAAATAATTTTAAAGGCAACATGTAGTTATACACTACATAAGCAATTTAAATTCCTAACACTCAGGAACTGTTTCAGTGATAAAGTCCTATTTCTACATTTTTTAGCTATGATTTATTATGTTTAAGAACCTAGAAGAATTATGTCAATAACATTTCAAAACAGAATGAAAAGAAAGCCTTTCGCATATGAGGTGAAAAAGCAACTTTAAGAAAGTAAACTTGGATACATTCTGAAAAATGTTCCACAAATGCAAAATAATGTATGTACAAGGCTATTTACACCACTATTTGTAATAGAAAAAGATTAAAAATAATCAGAAGTCCCTCATAAGGAACAGATGAGCTACATTATGGTAGTCATGCAATGAAGTATCATGCACCTATTAAAAGTGAACAGCTGTTTTTTACTCATATGAAACCAACTCTAAGTTATATTAAGTGGGGGTGAGGGGATGAGGGAAGGAAAGAGTGCATAGATAACTTTCAACCTTAGTGTAAAATATCGTTAGTATAGAATGGAAAGCTGTCTGGAGTATCCTCAGTCTACTAAAAATGGAGCTACCATATGACCCGGGAATTCCACTCCTAGGGATCTACCCAAAGGACACAAAAGAACACCTGTACACCTATGTTTACTGCAGCACTATTTACAATAGGCAAAACCTGGAAACAACCCAAATGCCCAAAAATAGATGACTGGATCAAGAAGATGTGGCATATATACACAGTGGAATATTATTCAGCAATCAAAAAAGACATGTTCATGCCATTTGCAGCAACATGGATGGAACTAGAAGGAATTATGCTCAGTGAAATAAGCCAGAAGGAACAAGAAAAATACCGAATGGTTTCACTTATAGCAGGAATGTAGGGGAACCAAATAAGACATCAGTGTAAAAAAAAACAATAGTACAAAACACCACAAAGTAAAAACACAATTACAAATCAGAGACATATTGCAGGGGAGAAGGCAGGAGAGGGATCAAAGGGAGGGAGGGAAGAGCACAGGGGACTGAGGTGATGGTGCACAGGTGCATTGGTGAAGGAAATTCTATGGGGACTACACCTGAGGGGGTGGGGGAAAGCAAATATTGTTTAAAAATGAACAATTATGTAAAAAATAAAATAAATAAATAATGCATATTACTGGGCAAAAAAATATATAGTTTGTGTAAAATTTAGTTATCTTAGTGTAAAATATAGTTATTTCTTCTATATGTAGAGAATATTCCTGAAAGTACACTCCAAAAAGTAGAAAACATTGACTGCCCCAAGGGAGGTGACAGGGGAATAATGAGACCTACTTTTCTACATACCTTTAGCCCTTCTGGAATTTTGCATGTATCATCTACTCAAAATAATAGATTTTAAAAAGTATTTTATAAAAAGCTAAACAAAACTCAGGGTGACTCAATAAATCACTCAACTGTACTCAAGGCATAAGACTCTATGTGAACCAGAGCTTTAATTTTCCTTTAAACATTCTGTTAGCAATTACTTTTAAAAGATTAGAAAATCATTCTTGGTTCTCCAAACCATCTCCACCCAGTGAGTCACCTACAAAAAGGGGTGGGTCTCACTATGGAGTCCCATAGATGGCATGAAGCCCAGGAACACAAGAGGCAGTTGTTGCAAATTTAGGAAGCAAATAAGAAGCAGGACAGTTGACTGAAGAGGGCCTACAGCAGTTACTATAATTTTCCAAAACCTGCCTTTTGGTAGGGAAGGACCATTTAAATCAGTCAACAAGGGCCCTAGGATAAAGAACTGGAGGCATGGCTAGCCTCCACATGGCCCTGATAGCCACCATGGTGAGGACTGAAAGGGAGGTTGAGTTTGCAGTAGCCAAAATGATCTTTTCTACCTACCTAATGCCAGAGACGCCTTCCCTGCCTGAGATCACGCATTACACTCATTATCTAATTAAGATAGCTTACTTCATCACATCAGCTGCTCATCAGCTGGCAGAAATTACCGAGTTTAAAGGCAGCTGAAAAAGACTTCTCCCTTTTGTCACTTTAGGGTGGACATCTGCCATGTCCCTCTGTACAGTGTTTGCACAGGATGGGCTGATAACAGCACACCTTTGCAGCTGTTCAGGGAATAGTAATCAAATCTGGGATGCAGTCTCCTAGAATAGTTTCCAAGAATTATAAACCTCAGCCGGTGTGCAGTGTGGCTATGCATTCTATCCCACGGTTCACTAAGCACAGTACAAATTTCCCCAAGTTTCCATAAATTTGCTGTGTCACCGGAAAGTCTAGTCACCAGACTTAGCTCCCTACCCGGTCTTCCTTGAGGTCGCTTAAGCAAGGCCATCTTCTGGCTCCAGCTCCCCCACCAGAGGTTCACCTGGCTGCAGGCGGGGCGTCACGGCTCCCTCAGATCTCCGAACGCCCAACAGGTAGAGGGTACTGACGACCACCGTTTCCTGTCTTTCCACTCCCCCATGCCAACCCGCCAGCCGCGGGCTCCCCAATTCCACGCCGGAGTTCCTCTGCCCGAAAGCTCCCGTACACTACCCGGGGGCCGAGAAGCGCACACCGAGTCATCCGCTCCAGGGAGGCCCGCAGGCCGCTCTGCCGCCCCCAGTCGCGGGGACACAGAGGGCATCCCAAGTCCCCGACGGCGGGCCTCGGAGCCGGCGGGGCGAGGTAACGCTGGGGGACGCGGGTGGGAAGGGTAGGGGGCGCCGCTCCTCACCTGACCGCGGGAGCAGCGTCACTGCCCAACCCAGTTGCCGGCAAGATGGAGCGAGGGGAGGGCGCCGGGAGGGCGGGGCGCTGGGGCCACCGCCCGAGCCCGTTAAGCTTCACCACAGCGCTGGGAACGCCCCCGGGGCAGGCCCGGGCGGCACCTGGCAGGGCCTGTCCCCGCGGCCTGCAGGACCCGGCCTGGGGCTCCCCCCGCCGCCATTCCCCCTCCGCCCCGCCGCGCCCAACTTCCTGTTGCGGGTAAAGACGCACCCTTCGTGGACCAGCCAGTTTGATAACATTTCTAGGTCCCAAGGGCCCTTCCCAACACCCTTTTGGGCTCCCTCAAGTTACTTAGGAAGTTGCTGGGTTTCTGAGGGATCCCGGACCCCCTTCAGTGGCGGGAGACAGAGGAGGGATGAGTCTGGAAGGCCAGTTGCAACCTCCGCCTCAAATATGCCTTGCTTCCTCTGTCTTGTAAAGACTTCAAGGCCTGTGTGTTTTATTAGCTCCCCGTGAAAGGCATTCATACCACTCCAAAAGGAAGTTGTTAGGTGATTCTGGATTCCCCCGCACGCACTAGAGCCCTTGTATCTGGCACACATATTACCATTAAACATTTGAGGACCCTCACCAATATCTTAAACTTAAGAAATGATATCTCACAGCAAAAATCAGTCAGCTAATTTTTTTCATTGGTCTCAATGTTTGGTCCCCATGTAACAGGGTGGTCCCCAGGAAAGGGGGAGGTTTCCTGCCCCACCCAAGGGAGGGTGGAGCTGAGCTGGAAGAGAAGCTGCAGAAGAGACTGAGGAAGGAAGCAGGATGGAGCCAGGAAACTGGCTTGTGAAGAAACTGCGCTTGTCTTGGTCGTGGACTGGGTGACACAGATGTGGGTGAGACACGTGGGGAGGTAACAATGGCAGCTTTTATCTTGATATTGATTTTGCTCTTTTCCTTCTGGGCTTGTCTGGTTGTTTCTGACCATTTTCTGTGGGTCCCCACTGGAAGATGCTTTAGACTTGTGGCAGGCTTTGGGGCCTTGCTCTGGGCCAATCCCATTTGGATGGACTTTTACCCACGAGGGGACGGGTAACTTTGGGTGCTTCATTTAAAAACTAAATTCTTTGCCTTTCCTGTATTTCCTAGTTTTATTAAAGTTCCTTCCCATTAAAGTCTCCTATGTTTTGTGTTGATGCGGCGGATGGCAGAACCCATTTAGAATAGGCAGGTTTGCGGGGTTTGGGCTGCCCCTCTCCCTGTCCTATAACACCCAGACCAGCAGCAGCAATATCTAGAAGCTTATTAGAAATGCAAATTCTTGAATTTCACCTTACAGAATCAAACTCTAGGAGTGGAACACAGCAACCTGTTGTAACAAATCCTTCTGGTAGTTCTAATGCATACTAAAATTTAAGAACCATCAACCTGTTTTTTTTACCCAAAGATTCCTCCTGGGGGTGGTATAAAGTGAATTAAAATTTCAAATGGGAAAAGCAAACTATACAGGGCCCTAAATAGGATTAAAGTGGAAGGTACCTGAGGAAGGACACTGCCATATTCAAACAAAACATTAGCACTGACTACCCACCATTCATTCCCCAGCTTCTACAGTCTGTGATCTGCTGGTCTGCTTGGCAAATAACTGGCCTTTCTGGCCCCTAAGGTCTCACAAATTCAAGCATTCCTTAAGAGGCCTGTTCTCACTCCCCTTCACTCTATTCTACTAACGGTAGTGATCTCATTCACAACCCTTTCTCCCTCTGCCTTAACTATCTAACTTGAAGATATTTTCTAAGCTGTTTTATTTAAAAGATTTATTTATTTATTTATACAAGCACTGGGTACAGTCAGAAGCGTGGGAGGGTGAGAGAATTCACCAGAGCCAGAGCGGGGAACAGAACAGGCAGACTGATGAAATACACTGCTGAGGGGAGCAGCTGGCTCGGGAGAGGTCTGTTGCGCTATGTGGGACCCTCGCGGGGGGCCAGGGATGGAACCTGCGCTGCAGAGGCTGCAGGCAGCTTCGCAGCCCAGTGTTCAACCGCTGCACCATCAGGGGAGGCCCTAAGAGGATATTTTCTAATCCTAATTTCCAAACCACTTGCCTCAGCTATAATTCAAACATGCCATGACCTGTTCAGACACTTCATACACTACATTTCTCCATTCATCCTTTCAACATACAAGGCCGTCGAAGGTCAAAGACCCTTTCCTCACACTTCCTTTACCTAGAAAGCACTGTCCACTTTTAAAAATTATTCATCTATTTAGACTCAATTCAGAGATCACCCATCTCATATTACTGAATGATCAAAGATAAACTCATGCGGTTTGCAGCAATATGGATGGACCTGGATGGGATAATGATAAGTGAAAAAAGTCAAGCAGAAAGTTAAATACCAGATGGTATCACTAGTATGGATAACAGAGAGAAACCAAACTAAGGGTGAGATAAAAACCAGTTCAAAAATTAACCCTTGAAAGCTGACTATAGAACTGCAGCATCCAAAGGGTCAAGCGGGTTGGGGAAGGGTTAAGAACAAAGAAGCAAGCACAATGGACTATGTAGGGGATTATGGGTGATTTGGAGGTGGGTGCACTATGGCAGTGATACCTTATGGTATTTAATTTTTTTAAATAAATTTTAAGGGCCTCCCCGGTGGCGCAGAGGTTGAGCGCTGGGTTGCGAGGTTGCCCGCAGCCTCTGCAGCGCCAGTTCGATCCCCAGCTGCTCCCCGGCCACAGGAGGAGGGTCCCACATGGCGCGCAGACCTCTCCTGCCGCCCTCTGCTCCCCTCAGCAGTGTGCTTTGGTCCTTCTGCCTGCTCTGCTCCCCGCTCTGGCTCTGGTGAATTCTCTCACTCTCCCGCGCTTCTGACTGTACCCAGTGCTTGTATAAATAAATAAATAAATAAAAATCTTTAAAAAAAAAAAAAATTTTAAAAAGTTTATTAAAAAAATCACCCATCTCCTTCTAGCTTCCAGAAATCTTTTCCTGACCTCCTCCATTTCCTTATCTTTCCTTACATAGACTTAATTATTCCCTTTTTTTGCACCTAAACGATCTTTTACAGATATCCACGGTGGCACATTTAACAGTGGTCATAAGCACATGAACTTTTAACTTACCTATATTCAACCACATAAACTTAGCGAACACCTCTAATCACTAACAAAGGTCATCATATAGTCCACTCACTGTTCATGTGAAACAGAAGCCATTATGCTTCTCCTAATGTGAACATTCCATTGTGTCAGAGTCTAGTCTTTAAATACACATACTATTTTATACAATTAAAGCAGGAATTTTGTCGCCCAGGGGTCATTTGACAATGTCTGGAGACATTTTTTGTTATCACAGCTGGTATGGATGGGGTAGTATTTAATGGGAAAGGCAAAGGATACTACTAAACATTCAACAATTCCCTGGGCAGCCCCCTATGACAAAGATTCAGCCCAGAATGTCAATAGTACTGAAGTTCAGAAACTCTGAGTCAGTGATCTTTAAAGAATTAGGTCATGCCATCACCTTGATTAACTCCTCCATTAGCTTTCCACTAGAACCAGAATAAAATCCGAACTCCTGGTCATGGTCTATTTAAGCCTTATATAATCTGACCCCTGCCTACTTCTATCTCACCCCCCTTTAAAAAAAAAAAGATTATTTATGCATACAAGAACTGGGGTGTAGGCCAGAGGTATAGGGGGTGAGAGGATTCACCAGAGACAGAGTGGGGAGCAGAACAGGCAGATCTACTGAGATACAATGTTGAGGGGAGCAGCGGGGGAGAAAGGAGAGGTTGGCCATATAGATTAGCTCACTGGCTGGGATCGAACTCATGTTGCAGTGGCCAGGGATAGCGTCATAGTGCTGTGTCCTTAACCACTGTGCCACAAGGGAGGCCCCTATCTCACCCTTTTTTACCTCCCTTCTCTATCACTAAATTCTCATCACAGAGGCCTTCTGTCCAAACATACCAAGCTCATGCCCAAACACATAGAGGTTCTTAGGCTTATTGCTTATTATTGCTTTTACTAGGTATGTTCTCTCCTATATGTATCATCTCAAATGGCATCCATCTCCTCAGAGACACAGGTATTCCCTGACAGTTGTAGGGTTAGTAGCCACCTGTTACCAACACATCTGCCAGTTATACACATTCCTTATCCAGCTTAGTTTTCTTTATAATACTTAGACTCATCTGGAAGTTTCATGTGTTTACTGTTTGCCTCCACCATTAGAATGTAAGCTCAAGAACAGGGACATCTCTAGAGTCTACTAATGTTCAATAAATATTTGATTCACTAGAAGAGCCCCCAGACCCAGTCAACAATTTGATCTGGTGGTCAACTAAATAGACTTGTTTCCAGTACTGGAGGGAAAACTGGCTCTGACAGACATGTTGAGAGGAAGATATGTTAGAAGAAAAAGTAGTGCTTGCTCTGCTCCCTGCTCTGGCTCTGGTGAATTCTCTCACCCTCCCGCGCTTCTGACTGTACCCAGTGCATGTATAAACAAAACAAACAAACAAATAAAATAAATAAAAACATGCCTCTATTTAAAAAAAAAAAAAAAGTAGTGCTATCCTTAGGGATTTTCAGATACAATGTTTTGAAATATTTATTTTTTCATATCACTTGCTGACTTTAAAAATATATATAGCTGTCATGTTGATCTTATGTTGTTCTTCTATTAAACTGTAAACACTTTAAGGGCAGAAGCCATTTCAGAATCCTTGGTATTTAGCATAAAGCTAGGCATTTAGACTTTTATGTCCTAATACCACTATACTACTAAATTGGAAATTTTTGTATCACCTGTTGCTATGTGAATTCTCTTTATTAAACTCTGATAATACGAACCATCACAATAATAACCAAACCAGATAGTGTACTTTCCTATTCTAGCTATAAAATATCACCATCTACTTTTTTACTTAACTTGCTATAGCTAGAAATTACTTCTTGCTTTCCATGTTCCCTACTGTCACCGTAGCTAACACCTGCATTATCTCATCTGAATCATAATAGCATCCCAAGTGGTTTTTCTATTGCCAAACCATCTTACGCATAACTGCCACTTCAATCTGTTTGTTACTGAGCAAAATTCAAAGTGTTATGTATTCAATAGCAGCTACCATTTATTAAGTACATACTATGAACTAGGTAGTGTTAAGCATTTAACAAATAGTCCTATTTTTTACAGTCTCTTAAGATTAAAATAATTTTTTTGGTGACAGCCTTGAGATATAATTCACCCATATGAAGTGTACAATTCAACAGTTTTCAATATTTTAATAAAGCTGTGCCATCACCAAAATTAATTTGAAAACATTTACATCACTCCAAAATTAGACCCCAATACCCTTAACCATAATGCTTAATATCCTCAATCTCCTCATGCCTATGGATATACCTATTCTGGACACTTCATACAGCAATGTGATGTGATTGGCTTCTTCAATTAACATGAACACGAATGAACACATTTATAAGGTTCATCTACATTTTAGCATGAAGTATTATTTTCTTCTTTTTTTTATGACCAAGTATTTCATTGTATAGTTTTTTTTAACCATTCAGACTGATGGATATTTTGGCTATTATATTTATGCTATCAATGTTTGCGTGCCTGTTTTCATTTCTCATGGGTATACCTATTATAGCAGAGTTGCTCTTGAAAGTATCCTCTGAAGCTTATATTTTAAAATTTTAATAAAGTCTAATTTATCTATGTTGGCTGGTTGTGGTTTTAGTGTCCTATCTAGGAAACAACTGCCCACTGATTTGTTTCGGCACACTTATCAAAAATCAACTGACCATAAAGGATTTATTTCTTGATTCTCAATTCTCTTTCATCGATCTATATGCCAGTGCTAGTATCATTAGCAGTAACTCTTTTGGTTACTATTGCTTTGTACTAAGTTTTGCAGTACATTTTAAAATTGGGATGCATAAGTCCTCTATGCAAACATTCTAACTTAACTCTTAAGGTAACTCTGGGTACAGGTTCCCTCTCATTTGAGAAGTTTAGAGGAAATTTGAGAAGTTTAGCTTTCCCAAGGGCAAAATATAGCTGGTCATCATCCCAGCATTCTTAGATTTATATAAGTCTAAAGCTGACCAGTAGGCTATGCTATTCCTATCAGACTTAATTTATACTAATCCCCCAATATACACCAAAATATTTCCTGATTTTCTGCCTCCTTATTTGTTGTTCCTTTATCTGAAATGCCCTGCCTTCCATGTTTCATAAAATTTGGATTCATAAAACCAGCACTATTACTTAGCAAAGTGATCTCTTTTTTCACTCTAATTCCTAAGCACTTCAAGTCTCTCCCATGCTTCTTATTCCACACTACATTTTATAATAAAGGTATCAATATACATGTATTATTTTCCTTCCTAAGTTAAGAATAAAGACTGTGTCTCATTCATCTTTTATATATCCCCAGAGCCATAACACAGTACCTTTCACATGGGAGACACTAAATGTTTTGAATGAATAAATGAATTCTAAAATTACCCCATCACAGTGGGCAATAAAAATGTATGTGTGTGTGTGTGTGTTAGGATGATGGCGGTAGAGTGGTGGGGGTGCAAGGTGATAGCTAGGTTACAGGAATAAATACCTAGTCTTTTTTTTTTTTTTTTTTTTAAGATTTATTTGTGCATACAAGAACTGGAGTACAGGCCAGAGGTGTGGGGAGGTGAGAAGATCCACCAGAGGCAGAGTGGGGAACAGAAAAGGCAGATTGACTGAAATACACTGCTGAGGGGAGCAGCGGGCGAGTCGGGAGAGGTATGCTGTGCCATGTGGGTGAGCTCCCTGGCCGGGGATCAAAATCATGTTGCAGTGGCTGTGGATGGCTTCGTTGGTTGCGTCTTAACCCCTTGCATTGCCAGGGAGGCCCCCACTAGTCTTTTTTTTTTTTTAAGATTTTTTTTTCAAGATTTATTTATCTATACAAGAACTGGGGTACAGGCCAGATGTGTGTGAGGGTGAGAGGATTCACCAGAGACAGAGTGGGGAACAGAACAGGCAGACTGACTAAATACACTGCTGAGGGAAACAGCGGGCAAGACAGGAGAGGTCTGCTGAGCCATGTGGGATTCTTGCCAGCTGGCAGGGATCGAACCCACGCTGTAGAGGCTAAGGACAGCCTCACAGTGCAGCATTCAACCGCGTGTGCCACCAGAGAGGCCCTTAAAGATTTATTTATTTATGCATACAAGAGCTGGGGTACAGGCCAGAGATGTGGGGGATGAGAGGACCCACCAGAGACAGAGTGGGGAACAGAATAGGCAGACTGACTGAAATACATTGCTGAGGGGAGTAGCGGGTGAGACAGGAAAGGTCTGCTGCGCCATGTGGGTTTCTCCCTTGCTGGCCAGGGATCGAACTCATGCTGCAGAGGCTGTGGATTGCTTCACAGTGCGGTGTTTAACCCCTTGCGCCACCAGGGAGGCCCCTAGTCTTTTTTTTTAAGTCAAATTTTATTTACCATTTGTTTACAAAACTATATAATTTCAGAAGTATAGCTTTACACTTTGATATGTTCACATGCGTCACTCACTTACCACCCAAGCTCCAGTGCCATTACACTATCACATTTAGCCTCTTCTGCTCTCTACTCCCTCCCCACCTCTAATAACCACCATTTTCCAGTTACTTTTATTGTGCTTTGACAATCTGTTTTCTTTATATCACTCATTTCACTAGTAAGTGAAACCATTAGTAATTGTCTTTCACTTTCTGGCTTATGTCAGTTGGCATAATCACCTCAAATTCCATTCATATTATCACAGAAAGTGCAATTTCATCTTTTAAAATAGTTCAGTGACAGAATACCTAAATCTTCAGAGTGTGATAAGACAAGGATAATATGAGATAGGGGGTGGCAGAGTGGCAGATCCAAATAGAGCAGATACAATCACTCTGTTGGCAAAAGAGAAACTCCAATCTTAAGGCCTTGTATGTAAACAAATATTCCTCAGTGACTAGGAAATAAGTTAAAACAAGTGACTTAATAAGCCCTAAACTGAGTTTACTGTGATTTAGAACAGGTGATAGCAAATAACTCCAGTATATTCAAGTAAATTCTGATATGCTCTGGACATCTAAAATACAATACCTGAGCAAAAAAGCTATTCTGAAGTCAAAATTCCCCAAGAGAAAATAGGAAAATGAGACATTTAACTCAAAAAAGTCAGGAAACAGAACTGTATGCCAATTCTCACAACCTCCCGAGTTCCCACCACTTCTCTGAATTGCCCATTCTTGTACCACTTTAAGTAATTAAGACCTCTCTATTTTTTAGCCCAAATTGATGGATAAGAAGGAAACCTTTTTCAGAAGATTAAGATGTCATTCTTCTCAATGCCATCTGGTTCAAGTCTAAAGGTGTAATTTTCTCACAAAGGATACGGTTAGGAACTCTAGCCTCTGCAAAGACTCTGGAAAGGCAGGACCTCTTGCCACACACTGAATCTAGAATCCTATTGCTAGGAACTTAGGGCTAACCTTTTAGAAAAGAGTCACAAATATAAGTGCTCCTATTCAGCTTAGACTCTTCACCTAGACAATTGGGTTAGGATATAGTAGGTTTCAGAGTTGGCAACAATCTGGTATAAGCAGGGTAATTTTATCACAACTTCCCCATTTTCTGTACATTAGTCAGGGTCTGGCTTAGCTATTTAAACCCCACCATCTACTTTCTCTTCCAACTGCCTCTTATCCAGCTGGCAGGAGCTTCCACGAAACATGATATAGTAGGCACTGCTGTATACTGGCTGCTTGTTGGGGTTGGAATAGACCTGTTCAGGCTTGAGAGATGCAAAAGGGTTAGCTCCATAGGCAATGATGTGTGTATCCAGGTCCACCAGAATCTGCATAGAGGCCTCCAACTCCTGATGACTGTGGGAGACAGATAAAAAATTGCTCTGCTGATTATGGGAGAGACAGGAGAGCAATTGCTCAGAACTGGACATTTCTGGATTCATCAACCCCCAAAATACCCAAGGCTAAATGAGGCAAGGGCTAACCCTTCTACCCAAATGTCTCACTGCCTACCCAACTAACTAACATATAAGCCTTTATTTCAAGAGGGTAAGAAAATCAAATGTGATAAGGAAGAAAATCTTCACCAGAAGGCAGAAGATAAGCAAGTGGGGAAAGAAATGAAGTGGTGTATACATAAAGAGAAATTAATTTAGGGAGGTATCGCAAATAGGAGGAGGTCAAACCTGTAAACAGTAATCAATGTAGGGATCTCATAATCACGAAGCAGCAGGAGCGTGGGAAGCCAAGCCTCTATTAAGTCCAGGGAAGCATGAAAACCTATAGAACAAAATGGAAATGGGAATAGCAAAGGGAAAGGCTGAAGTAGACACTAAGCACTTTTTTGATTTTGTCCACCTCAGCCCTCACCTTGCTCACCTCCAATGCTAATTTACCACCATGACTCTCCAGGTTCTTCAGTGGAAAATTCTGAACCCAGGTGTAGCACATATTGATAATAAACAACCAAGTTAATTCTCATATTGTATTAATCTGACTAAATGAATGGGATTCCAAATATAGATGATTTAAGAGTCAGGATGGAAAATTCCCAGAGAAGCCACCCAATATTTCCCTGAGCCGATTACTCTTACCTGGATGGAATGCCACCACCAAATCTGGACGGGCGGTCTGCCCAGTCTCTACCTGCTCCTCCCAGAAGTCATGATAGAGTCCTCTATGGCCAATAAGCTGAACTGTGCCAGATTCCAGGGGTGAAGTGAAGGTGCTCTGTGAAAAGCCAGCAGCCACATCTACACCCACCATGATCACACGGAAGCCAAGGTGTCCAGGAAACATGTAGCCAAATTCATCATAGTCCCCAGGGCGAGTGAGGAATGTCTCTACATGGGAAGCACCAACCACATGCACTGCACTTCCCCCAATCTTGCCAACATCTATCCTGAAGGCCCGAATTCCTAAGCCCAGTGTCAAGGGTCGTGACAGGGTATCTGTCAGCAGCCGCTTCAAAGAGCCCTGGAGGACAACTGGGTCTGGCCTTGGACGTCCTACACTGGCCCACAGGTTGGTCATGGCATGGCTACTGAGCACAGAATCCAGGGTAGTATCTAACTGTAAACTCCGCATAGAAAACCAGGTGTCCCAGTCCTGTACAACTTCAGCCAGACAAGGCCAAGGTCCTGAGGGTAGGACAAAATCACCTGTAGGAAAGAAGCATTAAGAAGTGACCTAATTCTTTCCTGGCTGCAGTATTCCCTCCATGTTCACTCTTCCAATCTATGACCAAGAAGGCCCCATTCCAATTGTCCCATCCAGTTTCTTTTTTTCCTCATAAAAAACATACTTCGTGTCTTTATACAAGCACAATAAACTATGATCATCGTGGCAAAGTTCCCCACCACCACCACTTCACCTGTGACCAGAAGCCATTCCATGAGACGGTCCACAGCTACAAGACTCAGCTCTTGACAAACCCTCCTATGTACTGGCCAGTCTGACTTCTGGCACTCTGGCCCACAGTAATAGACATTTCTGCACCTGAGAAAATGAGCCCCATAAACAGATGTTCCTATATTTCAAAGGTGATTGGGAGATATCTGGTAAAGGGAACAGACAGTCCTGTACCCAGAACACCTTGTTGTTTCTCCATCTGAAATACCCTGCCTTCCATCTATTTCATAAAATTTAGAGTAAGGAAGGTAGCGAGGAGTGACAGCTGATGCATCAATTTGGGGACTACCTGTGGCAAGGAAGGCAGGAGGGACTGAGAATGTAATTATTTCTTTGTGTCAGAGTGATGCCTCAGTTACTACCTGGAACAACTCACTTTTCATGTCCCTTCCAGAAAAATAAAACACCAGAAATTTGCAGCTGTCCTCTTATCAGAGATGTGGCTTGACCCCAATTTCCCAGAAACAGTTATGGTCTCACCCACTGAGTACTCAAGAGGAGGAAGGAATAGAGGATTATTATACTGTGGTCCGTCTGATCTCCACATAACACAAAACATAAGAGGACACAACTCTATTGTAATCTCTCTGTGCCCTGGGTCACATAAAATGAGGAGTGGGCCTTCAGTTATTCTGAAAAACCTCAAGCCATTCTTCCTGCAACAAAGTCCTAAAACAAGATTATTTCTGGATGTGTCCCCTATTAGGCCCCACTAGTCACCTCTTGCAATGCCGTAGGATCCTGGAATCTGAAAGGCCACTAGGGAGTGCTCTACAGTGAGCACAGAATCGGAATGTGTCCTCCATCTTCTGGAACATTTCTTGAGGGCACTGAAATCCAAAACCTGATACAGGAGTACCTCCATCTACCACCAACCTGTGAAGACAGCACAGAGAAGGATTGGCAACAGAAAAAAAAGACTACCTGCAAAATCTCTTGTGACCCCCTACCTTTCCTCCTATGTATTTCCACTTACTCCACCCCCATATCTCCTACTCCCATCATTTCTCACTTAGGCACATTATTTTCTTTAATAGTAATGAATCTGGCAAAAGTCAGGGCAAGAAAATTCCTCATTAAAAATTACTCAGTGTTCCCCAAATTATATTCCCTCTCCTCTTTCTGAAATCACTGCTATCAGAGACAATAATATATGGCTTTTCCACATATCTAGTCACTTACTTGTATTCTTCATAGCTTTTCATGTTCAGCTTTTCCAGAATCAACTGGGATAGGCCAGGAACACTATTCTCCAAGGAAAGGAAGCCGAGTGCATCAATGCTAGGGCCAGGTTTTGAGAGGGTCTGAGGCACATGGGTCACAGCTGTTTGCAAGGTCCCAACTGTGGACAGGGTCGCAACTATGGGAGCCCCCAATGATGGGGGTTTCTTGTGCCTTCGTCGACGGGACCTTGGAGCCATGGCCAGTCCACTGATACCTGGGAACTATAAGTAAACCGATGTAGAATGGAATTTTGCAAGCTGGACATACACGTATTTTCGTATTTGACCTTGCACTTATTCTCTCATACCCAGGTTTTAGTTAGATTTATTTAGTATATATTGATTAGTGAGCACCACAAGCGATTATGAAAAACAGGAAGGAAATAATTATATGTGAATATATACATATATAATGTATTCACATATAAGGTATATATTCACATATAATTATACATGTGCTATATATGAAGTTTTATATATAAATAAATATATTTAGGTAAATGCAGAGATCACATAATACCAGTAAAAATTATTAATTCTGAGAAGGGGAAGAAGAAGTGGGCTGGGAACTGGGTAGATGAAAGGCAAATTTAGACTTCTCAGTAATGGTTGACTTTTCAAAGAATATTTATCTATTAATAAAGTTTTAAAACCAAAAAAGAGGGTTTTTTTTGTTTTATATATTTTTTACATCATTCTTCATTTTTGTACAAAGTATGTTTTCTCCACTCAGGTACAGTCCCCATGATATTCCCACCACCAATTCACCTGTGCACGATCACCACAGTTCCTTGTGCTCTTCCCACTCTTAAAATCAAGTTTTAAGGAAAGAGCAGTAGAAGCTTTGGTAGTCAAAAACTGTTATCTAGGGCCTCTCTGGTGGCGCAGGAGTTAAAGTCTCAGTGCCATCCAGCTATTGCCAGCCACTGCAGCATGAGTTCGATGCCCAGCCAGGGAGCTAACCCACAAGGCACAGCAGACTTCTCCTGTCTCGCCTGCTGCTTCCCTCAGCAGTGTATTTCAGTAGATGTGCCTGTTCTGCTCCCCACTCTCTCTCTGGTGAATCCTCTCATCCCCTGCACCTCTGGCCATACAAGAACACCCCAGTTCTTGTATGCATAAATAAATAAATAAATCTTAAAAAAAGAAACTGTCACCTAATTGGAGAATTAGGGAATCCTCTAAACTGGCTGGAGAAGTGCAACACTCATTTTAAAAGACCAATCATCACATTCATATGTGATGTAGAAGAAGTAGAAATTAAAGCAACATAAAATAAGCACCACAGTACTAACAGTTATGTAGTTAAAGCAGTTATGCAAATTATGACGAAAACTTCCTGAAGTGAATTTTGAAGAACTAAGTCCACATCAACCCACTACCTGGTAAAATCTGTGACGTTCTCCTTCCCAGTTGTCTTCTATTCCTTCCACTAATGCTGAATAAAGAAAAGGGAATATATTGGGAAAAATAAAAACATCTATTCACTCAATAAATATTTATTGATAACAAAGTAATTTGCAAAATATACTAAAAATAAAAATATACATAATATTTAAATGTCCTATGGAAGGATTAGACATAAAAAGAAGATATATATATATATATATATATATATGGCAGTATATAAATCCTATATGAAAAATGAAACTGAACAGAAGATTAGGAGTCTCTTCAGTTGGTGAGTACATAGGAAGACTATGAAGCAAGCAGGAGTCAGAATAGACAATGAAAGATGGTAACACTTTGAATATACAGATATAGGGGAAAAGGAATTTTAAGTACAGAGAACAGCATGAACACAGAGATGTATATGAAGACATTATGGGATTAATGAAACAGAATGATTTGACTATGATTAAGTCTAAAGACCCTAACCATAAGAGCTTAGTCTATAAATATCTTAGAACACACAGGGGGAAAGCCTCATGATTTTGGAAGTCAATCACTTCTTGAATATAACTCCAAAAGCACAGGCAAGAAAAGGAAAAATAGATAAACATCAAAATTAAAAACTTTTGTGTATCATAGGAAAGAGTAAAATCGCAACCCATAGAATGTGAGAAAATATTTGCAAGTCATAGGGCCTCCCTGGTGGCGCAAGGGATTAAGCACTGCACTATGAAGCAGTCCATAGCCTCTGCAGCACAAGTTCAATACCCAGCCGGCCAGGGAGCAACCCACAGGGCGCAGCAGACCTCTCCTGTCTCGCCTGCTGCTCCCCTTAGCAGTTTATTTCACTCAATATGCCTGTTCTGCTCCCCACTCTGTCTCTGGTGAATCCTCTCACCCCCCTTCCACATCTCTGGCCTGTACCCCAGCTCTTGTATGCATAATTAAATAAATCTTTAAAAAAATATATTTGCAAGTCATGTATTACTGATTAGAGATTAATATACTAAATATATAAAAACTAAAACTCAAAAACCAATAGCCCAATTAAAAATAGGCAAAGGACTTGGATAGACATTTCTTCAGAGAAAGTATATAAACTGCCAATAAGCACAGGAAAAAATTGCTCAATATAACTAGGAAAATGTAAACCCAAACTACCACATACTACTTCACATCTACTAGGACAGCATTATAAAAAAATAAAAATAAACACACACACACACACACACACACACACACACACCAGAAAATAACTATAGAGTTGGTCAGCATGTGGAAAATTTGAAACCTCTGTGTACTGATGGTGGGAATGTTAAAATAGTGCAGTTGCTATGGAAAAACAGTATGGGCGCTCTGCAAAAAAAGAATTACTATACGACCCAGCAATTTCACTCTCACATACCCCAAATAATTGAAAACAAATACTCAAGTGTTTATACACTGATGTTCATAGTAGCACTATTCACAGTAGCCAAAAGGTGCAAAGTACCCAAAAGCCCGCCAACAGATGAATGAGTAAACAAATTGGTATGTAGGGGCACACACATAAACATCTATATTCCTATGTGAATATATTTCAGCCATAAAAAGAAATGAAATACTGATATATGCTACAACATAGATGAATCTCAAAAATACGCTAAATGAAAGAAGTCAGACAAAAAAGATCATATTATATGATTCTGCTTATAGTGGTTATGAAAATTGGTACATTCAGAAAGACAGAAGGCAAATTTGTGTATGCCAGGAGCTGGGTGGAATGGGCAGTAAATCTAATAGTTGCGGGGTTTACTTTTTCAGGTGATGAAAATGTTTTGGAACTAGATAGAGGTGGTGGTTGTGTAACAGAAGCAGTGCCATAAATGGGGGTAGGGAACATGGTACCATCCCTTTTATGGAGATGCCTGTTAAAATTGCAAAACACAGAGTGTACTAAATGCCATTTAATTGCTCACTTAAAAGGGATTAATTTTATGTTGTGTGAATTTCATCTCAAGATTTTTAAAAAAGCATTCATACAGACTAGAAACTACAAAGTTATTAATCCTCAGATTAATTGCTTCCAAGATGAGGGAAATGAAGAAGGATAAAAATGCTGACATGGTTTTATGTGAATGAAGTGACTATGAAAGTTCAAATTGGGGATCATGTTTTGTTATAAAAATGATCTGACATTTAATCTTCTGGATCAGATCTGTTAGGGAAAAAACCCCAGATTCACCATTCAGCTGAGGTGTAGGTGACAGAACAATCAGAAAAAAACCTCCCAGAATCATACAGTTAATATCCATCACTAAAGATGCTGCTCATGAAAACCCATCCTCAAATTAACGGAAGAACTAATTTCAATTTTCCATTGTACCTTTTCCTTATCCTTTCAATTCACCCCTTTAATCTCTCCCCTCATTCCACAGATGAATGGTTTCAGAGTCCACAGATCAGAGACAGCTAAACTTACTTACACACCATATCTTCTACATTCCTACCAATGAAGAAATTAGACGTACAGATGCATTATTTTAGGGTTAAAGAGCCATTATCTCTTTACTAACGAGTGGATGAAATTGCTTCAAACTTCATTTCCAACAACTGATCTGTCTCTTCCCTCCACTTGTAATCATCACACATTCACCATATATACAAAATCATTGTTGCTCTAGAAAAAGTTGTTCTATCTACCTATCCCCTCAGGCAAGATAACACTTTAAACCTTGAAATGACTCATCTTTTCCTTACAGGTATGAAGGAAAAGTATCTCAGAGACAACTCAAGTCTTCAATTCCAGAAGTAATAATAGCTTTCAGATTTCCAAACCAAGTCTTTGTGCTGCAATGAAAGTCAAGACCAGAAAGGTAATACCTCACTGACATGCATTTCTAAAGAAAGGTCTACCACCAATGGAAATTAACTCTTGATGGTTGGTTGAACAGGCTGGAAATCAAATAATCACACAGCTTGGGCAGCAGAAGTGATGGCAAAACCTCTGAGTTTCTTTTATGTCTAGAGTGTCATGATACAAACGAACTCATTTCTTAGCAGGAAGGTAAGAGGGTGGATGAGGAAGCAAATCTTTGTATCCACATCTACATATATCATCAGATTCATGTCCAAATTTCTATACTCTTAAGCTTAGATTCAAGTTCCCTGGAATGAGCTTTCTGGCAATGAGTCTAGGATCTTCGAACTTCAGGTGGGGAGACTGAGAGAAACAAAGGCAAAATTCAGAGAGGCTGAAACAGAAGTTGGAATGAATTATAGTATGAATTATAGAATGAATTCAGAAATTCTGACTTCAGAATCTATCCCACCTCGAAAGGAAATCACTTTAACTTGTTTTTAGCCACCCCTAATCACTTAGGCTCAAATTTATTTCCAGTGTATAAGAGAACAACCACTATCAAGGGATGGAGAGGAGAGTGAACTAGATGGCCTAGAAAAACTAACCCTTCATGTACAAATTCCCCCAAATTAGCTATTCCCAGACCTAGATCTGCTCTCTCTCCCCCTCCTTACCACTAAAAGCCCTAAGTAAACTAAGTAAAAGCCCTAAGTAAACCACTAAAAGTTTTAAGTAAACTCACCATCTCCACACCAGCAAGGCCCATCTAATTTTCTCTAATTCATCAGCAAACACAAAACATCTTTGATGAAGCTGGGAAGGGAGAATGAAGCTACCAGTCACTGAGGATCTTCAAAGTGAGTTGGGAAAGAGAATGGGGAAAAGGAGAAATACATTAAGAATATTGCTAATATAAACACCATCAACTTGTTTCATCAGTGGTTAACACTCCCTGGGGTGATAAGTGCTTCACTCAACTATAAACTAAAGAAAGCAGACGGGTTGATGGAAAAGTAACTTACCCTGCTAAGCCCTCGGCTTTCCTTCCTTCTCTCTTTCTTCCAAGTGAAGTGAGTGCTTGATCTCCTCAGATCTGGGCTGTAGCTGACTTGCAGCTGTCCCTTCATATCACTTTCCTTTGCAAACTGCTGAAATGATGGGTGACTTGTAATTACGTGGACTCTGCCAACCAGACAGGCAACACTGAATTCTCCTTGGCAAAGCAAGTAGGGACCTGACTCCTTATCCATGGACTTCTTGTTCTGACCTTCCTTCTCTGCCAAGAAGGCTCAGACCTCTGTCAACACTCCCAAACTCATCAATGGCCAAACAGCATAGGAAAAGATGAAACCTACTGCTTCTTGGATCTCTCTCACTAAGGTAGCATTTCTCCTCTGTCCACAAATTTAGAAAAAAATCTTTAGTATTAGTTCAGAAGCCAGTATGTGGTTGGAAAAGTTAGGGTAGGTAGTAGATCAGAGGAATAGGGAAACTTGGCGTTTTGGATGTCAATACAGACCTAAAATGAGTTCCCCTAAACCCAAAGTTCATTTTAGCACAACAAACACTGCTCAGCACAACTCAATAATGACCAATCTAGGCTTAAATACAAATAAAGCATGCAAGGAAGGCAACAAAAATGGTCACTCACAAGTAAAGGAAATCAATTGTAGATGAAACATCAGAACTAATCTGTAAAATTCACTTTCACATAAAGGAGAGTTAGGAATTTTCCAAGTGTCAAGAGGCACTCCAACTATTTCTCTTTAAAAGTATCATCAGGGACACCCCAGCTGTTTATCTGAATTAAATATTACCGGAATATTAAAAAAAGGAAGACCAAATATTAATGTCTAAGATTAAGCTTAGATTGGTCATTGTTGTGTTTAAGCAGTGTTTGTTATGCTAAAAGGACTTTGGGCTTAGGGGAACTCATTTTGGGTCTGTATTGACATCCAGAACTCCAGGGTTCCCTGTTCCTCTGATCTACTAGAACAAAAAACAGAAAAGAATCCATTCAAACATCTTTTCATTCCCTACTGTAATGGATGCTGATCTAGAGAATTTAATTCCACAATCCTAGCTCTTTTTCACTTAAAGCTGTCATGCTCCAGAACCTCTAAGAAGTTGTGAAGGTCGTGTTCCTATGACTCCAAGACCCAACTTTCTGCTTAGATCTCGCCCCAACTATTGCACTTACCTGCCTCTATAAATCACCAAACTGAGGAACAGAACCACTGGCAATGAGGTTCTACAGTGTAGCAAATCAAATCTATACATGAATAATGCAGAGAATGAATTCCAAAGAAACCTCAAACTGCAGAGAACACAAACAACAAGTAGGGGAGGTGGAAGTAAAATGTTAAGGACACAAGAAAATACTACTTAACATTACATAGAGTACCTGTGAACAAAGTAGGTAAAAAGCCTGAATAAAATAGGGGTGATTCATTATAAACATAGGCTTCAAGCCAATTTCAAATTTAACTGCAGAATTTTTGAAGATTATGAACTCTGTCAATAATGGTTGAATGCAGAAAGTAAAGAAGTTAGAGGTTGTCTTTTCTAACTCAGAGGTGTCATCTCTGAATATAAAGGGAGATGATATATAGGAAAAAAATTGATATTAAATATTAATTTATATTTTGCCATCATTACTATATGCTCTGATATACACTTAAATTTGTAATTTAGAAACATCTGAACTTTTCACAATTTGTTATTCATCATGAATTTGATTTTTAAAAATTCTTTAAAAATACATCTTCAGTTCATTGTGAAACTAGTTATGAAGGAAGAAGTTATGAAGCAAAAGGTCTGTGAGACACTAAATGATATTCTACCACTCTTCTTATATACCACTTTTTTGAGTTAGTTTCTTCCTCTCACTTTCTTCATTTTTATCATCAACTCATAATTCTTCTAGTAATGACGCTTATGATTTATCTTTACCCATGACCCCCTCAAATAATATACAACCCTAGTAATGGACCTAAATGCTCAAGAATTTCCTGGCACCTGATATACTAAACTCTTAGTTTACAAATGGAGCTTTCATAGGACAATAATACCAAGAAGAATCTTTAAAAGTATGCAATACATAATAAACTTTAGAGACAGCTCATTGACATGCAAGTTAGTATCACAGCAAGTAGAAGCTGTAATAATTAATAACGGGTTCTATTTGCTACCTGGAATTAAGCAAGCATAGACATTTCTATTAAAATTAATGCAGGGGTTAAAGTCTCAGTGCTATCAAGCTATCGCCAGCCACTGTGGCATGAGTTCAATCCCTGGCCAGGGAGCTAAAACCATGGCTCAGCAGACCTCTTCTGTCTCACCCTCTTCTGTCTCACTACCCTCAGCAGTGTACTTCAGTGGATCTGCTTATTCTGCTCCCTACTCTGTCTCTGGTGAATCCTCTCATCCCCCCACCCTCACACCTCTGGCCTACACCCCAGTTGTTCTATGCATAAATGAATAAATAAATCTTTAAAATGAATGCTCTATAGTGTATATCTTTATAATTATTGTTGAAAACTGTACTTAAAGTTACCATATGATCATATTATTATAAATGTTGACCATCCCTATTTTCCTCAATTTGCAAAGTTCTATACTTATTTTGGTAATGGCAACAAAAAAGGGAATATGATGGCAGAGAAATGCAATATCACTAATACCATTTTCTTATTGCTAAACATCCAACAAATTCCCAATACTGCTATGACAAAGTTGTAGACAATAACACATTCTTTCAATTAAAAGTGAAACAAGGATTTTAAATATTAGACTTAGGAAGACTATAATAGACATTCAAAGTATTCTAGTGCTCAGTTACCAATGCACATGTAAAACAAGTGTAACCAGTTTTTTTTTTTTAAGTAAAACTTACAAAAATAAGAATTAATCAAATTACCATAAACTATCCATGAGATAATCTCTACAGGATATAATCCCAGTTCTATTAACAGAATTTTCTGACTTCCATCAGAAGGTCAAATCAGACTACATCTTCCAAATAAAACCCAACACAGAGGTAAGAGCAGCGGCCCATGCATGGAATTTATTGTGTGCTATTGTTTATAAAATACTCGGATAGTCCTGCACATGCATAATATTTCCAACTTAGACAGGCGACCATACAGGGTGCACTTTCTGGCAAACAAAACAATAGATGGTTCCGCTGCCTGGAGCTCTGAGTTGTATTCCAGGGCATAAGGTTAGCAGGCCACCAAAGTAAAAGGAAATACCAAACTACAGTGGCAATCAATACAGATCATTAATTGTGAAAAGTCAGCACATGGTTCCATTTAGTTTAACCAAGCAGTTCTGTAACTATCAAAAGAAAATGTTCAACATGCAGTCTTGACTTTTATGCTTCCACTAACATCTGAATGATTGAACAGACCATTGCTTCTATACTGCATTGCTTAATCAAAAACACTGTCAGAACATTTTAAAAATTTCCTTTGCATCAAAACATAAAAATGATAGAAAGCCAGCAGCAAATCACCCTGGTGGCTATTTAAGCAACTTGAATACTCACAATAAACTAAAATTATTCATAACATCTAGGTAACCTATACATGTCGTATCTGTACATCATAGGTCTATATATTAAATATTTGCAAAATGAAAACATGCATACACAAAATACGTCAAGTTTTACAGACATGATTTGAAAATTTACTTTGACAATGTACAAACTTCTTTTTAAGTACCTTAAATGAGCAATTCTGTAATTCTTCATAATTTTGAAATTTAGAGGTTTTCTTCTTAAATCTCTGGGGTGAAAATCTCAAAAGATCTGAGCAAAAAAAGATCCTAAATTAGTTTTTGGATTTGTGTTCAAGTAAGAGAATCTGCCTAGAAACAGGTTATGCATTCATAACTGAAAAACCAAGACCATGTTACAGAATTAGCCACATTTAAGAACTATAGACCTGAGGTCAGCATTTTGTATAGATGCCAACTGGGTTTCTCAGCATTTTGTCCATAATTCAAAATACAACTTAGTAACCTCAGAAATGTATTTTAAGACCATGCTAATTCATCCTTTAAAGACATTTCATGGGAAAATAAAAAAGTCCACATTAGCGCTTAGGATTGCATGTGAAGTCATGGTTGAAAAACAAAATCTAGTTCTATTAAGGGAAAAACGAAACTTCTTTGTAAACTTAAATGTGTGAACCACAAGCATAAATGGAGGTGTAATTGCCCTCCACTGGAAATTGCCCCAAGCCCCTTGCTCACTGCTGTCCACCTTGGCAGCGATGACCCAATCCTATCAGAAAGCACAACATGTCCCAGGGCCCTCAAGCCTCCATCCAGGAAGGGGGCTAGAGTCTCAAAAGCACAATGGTTTCTCCAGAGGGACCGTGACATTTATAGTCAGCTTGACCGACCCCTCCAGTTCCTCAGGTGATCTGTCCATTTGGAGCCCAAGATGTGAGAGTCCCTGGGAAGCTGTGGGTCACTGGGCACTATGGTTGCCAGTCCCATGGTTCTCAGTGGCATGTGCGGTGTTCAGAGAATTGAAACCATCTTGCTGTACAGCATCTTTCCGGGGTGGCATTCTCTCATTGATCCTATCCAAACCCTTTGCCTCTTCAAAACTGCAGATTCTATGTGGTGGAGAGAATCCTCGTATTGCTTAACAAAATGCAAATTTGATAAGTCAGTAGTTGAAAAACATTTCTGAGATTTCAAAAACACAATTTTTAAGAAGAAAGAAATTAGCTGTATGTAGCAACATTTAAATCTTTAACGAAACCTATCCCCATTCCAGACTTCCCCTTAAAATGTAAAATGTTTAAACCTAAATATAAAAATAATAGCTTCATAGATATCAAATGTTAGCATAGCCTTTAAAACACACACATACACACACACACACACACCCCTCCCCAGACCCCCAAATCAACCTCCAGGCAATGGTCTCAGTCTGACTTCTATTACACCAATTATCACATACCCTAAGATCATCAGTGAATATAACAGTAAGGCAGCAACAAGAGTATGGGCAAGTGAAGAGGCTAAACAAGGTTAATCCTAAACATACAGATCTGCACTAAAAGCTTGGGAGGAGAAAGAGGTAAAGTTAAGTTGAAATTTAGCAGATGAGAACTATTTTGGAGGTCTCAAGGTTTCATCACCCCATTACCACCAACATGAAATGAAAAAGGTGGGAAATGCCTCCAAGAGTTAGATCTGTGTTTAGCTGACAGCAAAAAAGTATACGCAGTTTCAAATTTTAGGAGACGTCTTCCTTAATTCACTGGCCATTCACTATATGTTCTTTGAAAATCCAAATGAAAATATATGCAATACTCCTCTAATTGTTTTCTTATTTACTTCATCTGCAATGACACATCCTCCATTATTAAATATGTATAGAAAAGATTTCTATATTGCTGGTAATAATCTGGTTGCTTCAATATGTGCAATTCCTGGGAGTCAGAGTCTGTATATGTGAACCAAATAAATGGTTGGGGCAGCAAAGCATTCAGCAATGTGTAATATCAAATCAACACATATCTCTATTTTTTTTTATTAATTCACTTCCACCCTGAAATTATTTATCTTCTTTCTTATGATATATTTATAAATATAACATCATCATCAAACACTAGCCCAAACTGCAGCCAAAAAAATTTTATAGTGATAGCTCCTATTCTAGCTCGTAAACTATTGAAAATGAGCAAAAACAAATGTAAATCTCATTCACTTGGGAAAAAATAATCTGAGTAGCATAGAATTACAAAAAATATGATATAGAATTTTATTTGCAACCTTAAATGCTATGATATTATAGCATAATATTCTGTATTCTAAAGAATTTAGGGACATTAAATGCTGGTGCACACTATACTAATGAAGGGGAAAAAAACAGACTGCCACTATGGAAATCAGTCTTTATGACTTAAAAAAAAAAAAAGAAAGAAAGAAAGAAAAGAAATGTGACGGTTAAACTTGATGAGTCAGTGAGTCTGATTCATCTTGGGCTGTGTAAGTTAGGAGTAAGACACACCCACAGGATATTCTCTGATGCCCACCCACACACCACAGATCTCTGCCCAGCACAAGGACTCTGATCGTACCTTTTTCAGCCTCAATAGCCTCAACTGTGGCTGTACAGAAGTGAGCAGAGGCATGCAAAATGAATGAGAGAGATGAGAAGGGTCATATTGTACAGCAGAAAAGGCAATGATCACTTAAAATATCACAGTATCCCAAACTACATCATCATTTATAATGTAACATAAGTAGTACCCATTATAATAGAGAGCCCCATCCAATCCCCAAATTCTGACACAGCACAGTTTACACACAGCACTATGACAACATTGCTCAGCGCACAAAACACAAAGACCTATTGTAAACAGAGATGCCTCAGCACCCATGCAAATGCACTCCGATATTAATTACTCATCTTGAATTCAGTGTTCTGATGGCCTTGGAATTTTCTGAAATGTTTATTATATCACATTCATCACAATTACAAGGAAATTCTCTAGGGTGAAATACTGATGAATTTATAGAAGAACAAACAGGAGATTCTGTTTTTCTTGTCTACTGAAACAATGCTCATCCCCAGGTAATATAAACTAGAAGGGGTCAGCAATGCTTTTCCTCTCGCTCCTAATTCATATGGCAAAGCATAAGCTGCAAATGTTGGTATGTATACAATTACATTTAAGGACAATAAACTTGGTGAGTTACTCTGCAGCTCTGTTCTTTGTGGGTACCTAAAAAGACCCCTCTTGTCCACTAGGAACTTCCTGTATCAATGGTGTTTCAAATATTTAAAAACAATAACATCAATAGCCTTAAAAAGATTCATTTATGTTCAGTTTATCATGAACTCAAATCTGCCTCAAGTAGTAATTAACAGCCTTCATTCTCAAGTGAAGACAGAAAGGTTACTAAGCATCTTTTCAAGTCCATCTACCAAATAGAGAGGAATCAAGAGATAGAATTGAGGTCTTACAGGAAATAAATCCTAATTATTTGATGATCGGGACATATGCATAGGTCCTATGAATGAAAGAGACATTCCTGGTATAGCTTCACTTTGACCTATTTAGAAAATCATTATCTTTTGTCATAAATTTTTATAGTCAAAGATTCTTTTCGCTCATTTCTGAATTCAAACTGTAAACAGCAATCACACTGAGGACCAGGACCAGAGATTACAGAGGATAGTATTTCCTGACAATATACCTAGTCTCCACTTTACCCAAAGTGCACTTACTCAAAATACTTATAACAATAATGTCCCCTCCTTTCTATTTTGTTTCTTCTACAATAAAGCCAATTAGAATAACTACTTATGAAATGATCTTTCATACATGATTTAGAAATGATAAATTTTATCCAAAGCTATTATTAATGTCAAAGGATACTGATGAATCTAAAGAATTAAAGTAGAGTAAATTAGAAAAGATTACTGATCTTAATCAGATAGTAAAGTGAATTAGGGAACCAAAAGAAGTAGGATAAACACTGAATAAAGGAAGAGTTAATTTTCCTGTTAAATTATATTACCAATTAAAGCAGACATACTTATTGTATACCCACTGTACAAACAGCCAATTACACTTAGCATACTTGGAAATCTGCCCACACAGAATTTATCTAAACTGAAAACTGATATAAATGACCCATCTCTACTTGATCAGCCCTAGAAAACCCCTAGTCTTCAAAATGTGGACTATTTCATTCATAATGAATGAGAAATGAAATGGGAAAAAAATGCCCATCAGAATATGTCTTAAAGAGTTTGTGGTAATAGGAGCGATTTCATAGGAAATATTTTATAACCTATATATAATAATAAAAATTAACATCAATATAAGAATTAGTATATATTTGAGGGTATCAATTGATCAAAAGTCTATTAATAAAATTTTCAAATTGTATACTTTTGAAATCATTCCATGGGCTCTTAATTTTATGGAAAAGCATTTTCTAGGGTAAATTATATTCTGTGCTTTTT